TTAAATAAATAAATAAATAAATAAATAAATAAATAAAGATATATATATGTCTTTGTATAGGGTTGGTCTTAGCAGCTGCCGCTTTTGCTGCTGGATCTGCTACCAATCTGCGTACGCTACTGTCACTGCTGCTGCTGTTGCTGCTGCTGCTGTTGCTGCTGTTGCTGCTGCTGCAGATTCACGAGCGCCTGGACATGTGCAAGGATAGAGGGGAGGTTGACAAGCTAGCCGGGTGAGCGGACTCAGCTAGCTAGCTAGCTAGCTCGGTAGATCTTTAGCGAGCGAGCTGACTAGGTAGGTAGCTAGCTAGCAAGCAGAGCAACTAGCTATTGAAGTAGCTAGCTAGCTATGTAGATATGCAACTAGCTAGCGATCTGGCTAGCTAGCTAGGCGAGTTGAGGCTGCGTCACGCTGCGTCATCTTCGCAGCAGTGCCGGTGGAGGGGCCAGCCTTCCGCAGTCTCACTGCAGACAGCTAGCTAGCTAGCTAGCTAGCTAGCTAGCTAGCCAACCAGGTAGCTAGCTAACTAGCCGACCAGATAGCTCGCTAGCTAGCTAGCCGACTAGGTAGCTAGCTAGCCAACCAGGTAGCTCGCTTGCTAGCTAGCCGAGTAGGTAGCTAGCTAGCCAACCAGGTAGCTAGCTAGCTGCTAAACGGAAGGTTGCAGCACAGGGCACCTTGTGCGGCTCTAGGCGCCGCCTTCAGTGAGCGTAGGCAGCTAGCTAGCCATACAGGAGCGATTAGCTACCTAGCCAGCTAGCTAACTACTCCCTCCCGCTAGCTAGCTAGCTAACTAGCTAGCTAGCTAGCTACTCCCTCTGGCTAGCTAGTTAGCTAGCTAGTTAGCTAGCTACTCCCTCTGGCCAGCTAGCTAGCTAACTAGCTAGCTAACTATTCCCTCTAGCTAGCTAGCTAGCTAGCTAACCATTAGGCGGGGGCGTTGTTGTGGGGTTTGCGCACAGAGAGGTGAAGGCTGTGGTGGATGACTTAGAGGCGCAGCTGTCAGCAGCAATAATGCTGCGTGTAAGTGTCTCCTCTGCTGCTGTCTCCTTTCTTCTGTCTCCTCTGCTGCTGTCTCCTCTGCTGCTGCCTCCTCTCCTGCTGTCTCCTCTGCTGCTGTCTCCGCTGCTGCTGTCTCCTCTGCTGCTGCCTCCTCTGCTGCTGCCTCCTCTGCTGCTGTCTCCTTTCTTCTTTATCTTTGTCTCATTTTCTTCTCTCTCCTTTCTTGTGTCTCTTTGTCTCCTTTCTTCTTTATCTTTTTTTTCTGTCTCTTTACCCCCTTTTCTTCTGTCTCCTTTTCATTTTATTTTGTTTGTTTATCTCTTTTTGTTTGTTTTGTTTGTCTGTCTCCAATCGAACGTTAAGAAGCTGTTGTTATTTCTGCTTCTGCTGCTGCTGCTGTTGCTGCTGCTGCTGCTGCTGTTGCTGCTGCTGCTGCTGCTGTTGCTGCTGCTGCTGCTGCAGGATGTGGGGGAGGCTAGGGCCTTAATAAAGCGGCTGCGTTTATACTGCCGCGTGCTGCATAGGATGACGGATGCAGATTTTGCTGCTGCATGATTTGCTGCTGCATGATTTGCTGCTCTTTGTTATTTGTGTAATCTGCTTCTTCTTTCTGTTTGTCTCTTCTTTTCGTCTGTCTGTCTCCTTCGCTTCCTTCCTCTACTTTAACTCCATTTGCCTCCTGTAGCTGTCTCCTCTGAGCGAATGGCTGCGCTGCAGCAGGTGCAGCAGCAGCAGCAGCAGCAAGAGTAGTAGCAGCTGCTGCAGCAGCAAAAACGTTCGCTGGCTGTCCGAAAGAGGAAACGGAGACAGTCCCTCTCCCTTACAGATGCAGTAGCAGCACCACCAGCAGCTGCACCACCACCAGCTACAGCAGCAGCAGCTGCAGCAGCAGCTGCAGCAGAAGCTGCAGCAGCAAATGAGTACCCTTACTTGCGGCAGCGAAGAATTAAATTTCTGTTTTTTTCTTACATTGAAAATGAAGAAGTTGCTGCTAAGGTGCCTATACACCCCAATGTGCTACAACACGAGCCCCAGTCTATCACGCTGTTCTGCAGCAGCAACTGCAGCAGCAACTGCAGCAGCAAATGGAGCTGCTCCTTGTGGGTTAAAACGACACGATAGCAACAGCTAGCTTCTCACCTGTTACTGCTGCTGTTGCTAGCGTTGCTGCTGCTGTTGCTGCTGCTGCTGCTGTTGCTGCTGTTGCTGCTGCTGCTGCTGCTGCAGAGACAGCGGATGGTGTCTTCTAGGAAGAGGGTCTCGTCAGGCTCTCCATCAACAGCCTGCAGCAGCTTCTCCCTAATGCTGCGATAAGATATATACCTGCTATCTGCCTGCTGCTGCTGTTGCTGCTGCTGCTGCTGCTGCTGCGGCTGCGGGTGGGCTAGCCAATCGAAGAAGTCGTTGATTGCAGCCGCTACGGCAGGGCACATGGTGTTGCTGCAGTCTGCTGCTGCTGCTGCTGCACCCGGAGCAGCAGCAGCAGCAGCAGCAGGTGCCGTCTCTAGTAGGAGCTCCATTTCAAATGCTGCATTGAGTTGCTGCAGCCAAACAGTTTGCCAGTCTCCGAAGCGCGACGGTGCTGCTGCTGCAGTTGCTGCTGCTGCTGCTGCTGCTGCTGCTGCTGCTGTGAATGTTGCTTCATGGGCCGCGCTAGTGCTGCTGCTGCTGAGCAGCAGCTGCTGTCGGACGCGTAAGTGCTGGTGCAGGTGCAGCAGCGGGAGGGAGATGGGGGGCGTTGCTTGCAGCAGCAGTCGCTGCTGCTGCTGCTGCTGTTGCTGCTCCTGCTGCTGCTGCAGCGCTGCAGCATCAACCCACGGGAGGAACACCCTATCTGTCTGCTTTGTTGCTGTTGTGGCTTCATCAGCCGCAGCTGCTGCAGCATCAGGTGCCGCTGCTGCTGCTGGTGCTTGTCCCAGCCGCAGCTGCTGCTGCTGCTGCACTGCAGCAGCAGCAAGAGCAGCAAATGCAGTCGATCTTCCGAGAGTCTGTACAGCTAGCTGCATGGTGCTGGGGTTGTGTTTTGCTGCAGCTGCAGCAGCTGCAGCTGCTGCATCTGCGTCTGCGAGAGCTGCAGCAGCAGCAGCAGCAGCTGCTGCTGCTGCTGCAGCACCAGAAAGAGACACGAAAGCACTTCTTTCTGAAGAGGTAAGCTGACTCTCCACCGCCTCAAAGGGACAGCAGAACGGCAGCAGCGGCAGCAGCAGCACCCACTCTTGTCTATACACCCGAACTTGTTGCAGCTGCTGCTGCAGCAGCAACTCGCTGCGCCGCCACAGCCGCCTGTCTTTTGCTGCTGCTGCAGCCTGCTCCCGCGCCTGCTGCTGCTGCTGCTGCAGCTGCTGCTCCGTTGGGGGCGAGTCCAGGCCACACAGTGCTTGCAGCTGCTGCTGCAGCGCAGCAGGAGAAGTGCTGCACCGCAAGACAGCAGCAGCAGCGTGCAGCAGCCACTGGGGGATCAGAGAGAAGTCCAGCTGCTGCTGCTGCTGCTGCTGCTGCTGTCTCCTTTGGCGCTGCAGCAGGGCTGCCTTCAGCAGCAGCAAACCATACCAGGGAGTCCTACACTTTCTGTCTCTGCTGCCCCACGCAGCAGCACTTCCCGTCGTTGCTACTGCTGTCTCTGTCTTCGCTGCTGCTGCTGCTGCTGCTGCGCCAGCAGGAGCACCTGCAGCAGCAGCAGCAGCAGACCCCACAGCAAAATGATGAGAAGCAGCAAGGCCCCAGCTTTGCTGCGCTGCCTGTTCTGCTAGGCGACCAAATACCCCTACAAGTGTTCGGGTGTACATACACCGTGCTGCTGCTGCTGCTGTTGTTGTTGCTGCTGCTGCTGGGACAGCAGCCGCACCGCTGCACCTGCCGTCAGCAGCAAAAGAAACGGAAGGCACTAGCAGCAGCTGCAACGCTCCGCTGCTGCTGCTGCTGCTGAACAAGCTAGAGCGACCCCACGAGGCAAGGCGCTCACGCTGCTGCTGCTCTGGCTGCAGCTGTTGCTGCTGCTGCTCTGGCTGCTGCGGCTGTTGCTGCTGCTGCTGCTCAGATGCACAGGGCTGCCGATTACGAGTTGCTGCTGCTGACAGCAAGTACCTGCTGCTGCTGCTGCTGCTGCTGCGAGAAGCAGCAGGAAGGAATGCTGCGGCTCGGGCGAGCCCATAGTAACGAGCCCCTTCAATACTCCTGCTGCTGCTGCTACTGCTGTTGCTGCAGCGGGCAGCAACGTCTTGGGGTGCTGCAAGAAGAACAAGCCCACCTGCTGCAGGCTGCAGCAACTGTAGCAGCAGCAGCAGCAGCAGCAGCATCTCTGCCAGACGCCTTCTGGGCTGTGCCTATCACAGCAGCCCTGCTGCAGCGACAAAAGAAGGAGCGGCGGTGTATGCATGCAGCAGCAGCATCAGCAGCAGCTGCAGCAGCAGCAGCAGAAGCTGTCTTCTGCTGGTTTGCTGTTGTGCGTTCTTAGTCCTCCGACTGCTTGCTACTTGCATGCTTGTCCCTGCTGCTGCTGCTGCGGCTGCTGCAGTTGTCTTCGGTGTTTGCTGCCGCGTGCTGCTCGCTAATAGCCATTGTCTCCTGCTGCTGCTGCTGCAGTTCTGGTGAACATGCTGTTGCTGCAGTTGCTGCTGCTGCTGCTGCTCCCGCCAGTGTTATTTGTGCAGCCTCTTCTTTCTGCCTTTTTTATTATTCTGTGAGTTCTTACCCCAGGGCCTCTGCTGCTGCTGCTGCTGCTGCTGCTACAGCTGCTGTTTCTGCTGCTGCTATTGCTGCTGCTGCTGCAGTCGCTGCAGATGGCCGCCTTGCTGCTTCTTCTGGACCCGCTCTTGCTGCTGCTGCTGCTGCTACTGCTGCTGCTGCAGGGGATCGTTGGGATCGAACAAAGGGCCCCACACTCGGGCCCCCCTGGCAGCAGCAGCAGCAAGAGCACCTGCGTCAGCAGCAGCAGCAGCAACGGCAGAAGTGTTGCTGCTCATCTATGAATGCGCAGCAAAGAAGTGGTATTATGCAGCATCTTAGTGTTATATTTCTGAAAGGCGCGCCTCCCTTTTTGCATGCGCTGCTGCTGCTGCTGCTGCTGCTGCAGGCCGCTGCCGACAGTCAGCAGCAGCAGCAGGAGGAGCTACTGCTGCTGGTGCTGCAAGACACAAAGAAGCCGAAGGAGTTATCCTTCTCAAGTTTATATCTTTCCTCTCTCCTCACGTAGAAGTTTTGCGCCTCCTGGCAGCAGCAGCAGCAGCAGCAGCAGCCTCAACGGCAGCAGCAACTGCAGCAGCAACAGCAGCAGCAACAGCAAAGATAACAGCAACCCTGTTCGCCCGTTGGGTTGCAACTGCTGCAGTCTAGAAGGGCTCCTTTTAAGTAGCTTCCAGCAGTAAGGAAATGTAACGCCCAGCAGCAGCAGCAGCAGCAGCGGCAGCAGCAGCAGCAGCAGCGGCAGCAGCAGCGACAAGAACAACGGAAGCGCGGCAGGAGGAATGGCGCTGCAGGAAGAGCAGCAACACGAAGAGAAAGAGCAGCAACAGCAGCAGCAGCAACAGCAGCAGCAACAACAGAAGCAAGTGCACGGGAGCAGCAGCAGTCCTAACAGTGGAGACAGCAGCGATGAAGAGGCTGTCGGAGCAACAGCTGCTGCAGCAGATGCTGCTTCAGCAGGTGTTGCAGCAGATGCAGCAGCAGCAGCAGCTTTGCTGTTGCCGCCTGAAGGAGCACTGATGGAAGGAGAGGAGAGCAGCACTAATCCCCCCGTGCTTCCTGCTGCTGCACTAACAGCACCCACCGCAGCAGCAGCACCTGCAGCAGCAGCACCTGCAGCAGCAGCATCTGCAGCAGTAGCACAAGCCGCAGCTCCAGGAGCAGCAGCAAAAGCAGCACAAGCAGCAGCAACAGCAGCATCACCTGCAGCAGGAGCAGCACCTGCAACGGCGGGAGCAGCAACACCTGCAGCAGCAGCACCAGCAGAATCAGCATCAGCAGCAGCAGAAGCAGCAGCAGGGCGCGCAACAGCAGCAGCAGCATCAGCAGTGGCATCAGCGGAGAGTCGCCTCCTTCCTGTTCCCTCAGCGAGCGGCGTTACCCCTCTCTCCAGCAGCAGCAGCAGCAACAGCAGCAGCAGCAGCAGCAGCAGCAACAGCAGCAACTTATTGTTCTTGAGAGCAGGCTGGCTGCAGCGGCAAACCAGACACACAAAGCGCTTTGCTAATCGCTTTCTTTTGCTGCGGGGGTCTATCCTTTACTCTTTTAAAAGACTTCCCTTTCTGCGTTGCTGCCCCCTCAGCAGCAGCAGCAGCAGCAGCAGCAGCAGCAGCAGCAGTTGGGGGGTAGTAAAGGATGAGGACTTGGCTTCGTGGGTAGACTTTGCTGCTGCTACTTGCTGCTGGCAGCTGCGCAGCAGCAAAGTAGCTTGGTTTTGTTATGATAAAGCAACAGCAACTTTTAGGTGGACCCTTATTGCACCCAACTTGCTGCTGCTGCAGCGCATGCAGCAGCAGCAGCAGCAGCAGCAGAAGGGGCAGCACCAAAACGCAGCAACCAAGGCAGGGCTCAGGGGACGCCCCACACCGGGGCTAACCAAACGCCAGAAGCAGCAGCAGCAGCAGCAGCAGCAGCAGCAGAGAAATGGGACTGCTGCTGTCTCCTCGTCGCAGTCATCAGCTGCTGCTGCAGCAGCAGCAGGATGTACAGACACGAGTGAGGATGAGGAGGCTTCATTGTTGACCTTTGCAGCAGCAGCAGAAGCAGCAGAGGCAGCAGCAGAGACGGCTGCAGCAGCAGAGAGTGCGGCAGCAGCAGCAGCAGCAGCAGCAGCAGCGGAGCGAGAGACAGCAGAAGCCCTAGCCGCATGCACTGAAGAGGTAGTGTTTGCTGCTGCTGCTGCAACAACAGCATACGACTGGATGAGGTTAATGGATAGCTGCTGCTACTTAGGAGACGCATCTGAGGTGTACATACACCGCAGCTTATCTACACCATTTGCGCTGTCTCCTCTTGATGGTTTACCTTCTTGGTTGTTTGCTGCAGGCTGGTTGTATCTTGCTGCTGCTCGCCGCAGGTACGAACAGCAAACAGCAGCAGCAGCAGCAAGAGAGGCGGAGGCGGCAGCGGACCAGCAACGGCAGCACCAGCAGCTGCTGCAGCTGCAGCAGCAGCACAGCGAGAGGCTGCAGAAGTGCTCTCAGCAGCAATCCCTGCTGCCTTCCGCTGCCTGGCAGGCTCCTGCACCTGCTGCAGCAGCCACTGCAGCAGCAGCAGCAACAACGGCAGCAGCAGCACCACTACCACCACCCACAGGAGACAGATTGTTTGTGTCTCTACGTCTGCTAGCCCTTCATGATTTGCTGCTGCCGGATGGCTACGGGGTGTATTGTCTCCTTGAGTATCAGTCTTCTGTCTCTTTCTTTTCTGTATTTGGGGGCCCCTCTGCTGCTGCTGCTGCTGCTGCTGCAGCACCGCCTTCAGGGGCGAGGCCGTGGGCAGCCACTCTGCAGCAGCAACAGCAGCAACAGCAGCAACAACAACAGCAGCAGCAGCAGCATGGTTTTGTTGCTTCTCCATCACTCTTTCAGAAATGGTTTAAGAGGGCAAAGGGCTCAGCTGCTGTCTCCTTCTGTCGGCGTTTGCTGCTGCTGCTGCCTCCTTGCTGCGTCTCTCTCCCCGTCTTCTATCCGAGGCCGCAGGAAGATCTGCTGCTGCACTTCGTTGCAGCTCCCTTGGAGCAGCAGCAACATCAGCAGCAGCAGCAGGTGAGGGCAGCCAGTGGGCGCGACCGGGGCAGCAGCAGCAGCAGCAGCAGCAGCACACTGGCAGCGGCAGATACCACAGCTGCGCTTTCATCTGCTGCTGCTGCTGCCGCAGCTGCTGCTGCACCTGCAGACCTTCATTCGTCTGAGGCCGCGTTAGTAGCAGCAGCAGCAGCAGCACCTCCGGTACTGCGGGAACCAACAGCCACCGCAGCAGCAGCAGCAGCAGCAGCAGCAGCAAACGAGCCAACTGCGAGTTCGTTATCCCTTCGTATTGGAGCCGGACAAGATTATTATCTCTGCAGCTTTAGGCTGCAGCAGCAGCAGCTGGGGTGTGGGGCCCCTCGTTTGCTGCAGCTGAAGGGGTTTTGTGTCTCCTTAGCGAAGCACCCGTTGCTAGAGAAGTGCAAGACCATCCCTTCTGCTGCTGCTGCAGCAGCAGCTGCTGCTGCTGCTGCTGCTGCAGCAAGGAGGAGCGGCATTGTGTCGCCGCGTGTTGCAGCAGCAGCAGCAAAGCAGTTTGTGACGCAGCAGCAGCAGCAGCAACAGCAGCAGCAGAACGAGCTGGAGGAGCAGGAGGAGGCGGCCGGCGATGAAGAGAGCGTGTGTGTGCACGAAGCAGCAGCAGCAGCAGCAGGAGCAGGGGCCGCATGCAGCAGCAGCACACTGGTTCTTGAGGCCCTTCTAGGGGGCTCTTCTTGGCTGCAGCTGCTGCAGTACCGGCCGGAAGCATTTGATTCTCCACAGCCTTTTTCTCAGTTTTGTCTAGAAGAAGGAGAAGGAGCAGCAGCAGATGCAGGGACATTAACACCAATACAGCTTGTGGGGTTGCAGCTAAAGCGGCTGCAGCGGCTGCAGCGACGCTTTGCTGCTGCAAGGAGACAGTTGGGGTGTCTCTTCGAGTTCAGCAGCTGTTTTGTCTCTTTTGCTGCTTTCCTTTACCTTATGGCTGTCGTCAGCAGCGGCCCTGCAACCTCCCTTGTGCTGCTGTTGCTGCTGCTGCTCCTGCTGCTCCTGCTGCTGCACCCGCGAGCCGCGCAAAAGGCCCTTGCTGCAACACAAGAGCTCCCGCTGCTGCTGCTGTTGCTGCCGCAAGAGGTGCTGCCGCTGCTGCTCTTTAAATGCCCAGCAGAACAAGCTGCTGCTGCTGACGTGGCGAGGCAAACGGCATTAGCTTCTGCTGCTGCTGCAGCAGCTGCTGCTGCTGCTGGAGGAGGAGGATCCGCAGCAGCAGCAGCTGGTGCAGCAACAAAAACAGCAGAGATACTCAAGCAAGGCCCGTCGCCCTCAGCAGCGGCAAGTGCTGCTGCTGTTGCTGCAGCCTTGCTCATGCTGCACCGGCACCAGCATCTGCTGCTGCTGCAGCCCACCGCAGCAGCAACAGCAGCAGGACACTCCGAGGAGGCCAGCACTAACTGCAACTGCAGTAACAGCAACAGCTGCTGCAGCTGCAGCAGCCTGCTGCCTGTTGAGGGAAAAGATGTGGAGCAGCAGCCACTACAGCTGCAGCAGCAGAAGCAGCAGCAGCAGCGAGACGCGAAGCAGCAACAGGAGGAGCAAGGTCAGCAGCAGCTGCTTTGGTGCTGCTGCTGCAGCATCAGTTGCCAAGGGGGGGAGGCAATGAAGGTGCTGTCTCCGTTGCTGCAGTCTGTGCAGCAGCGGAAACAGCAGGAGCAGCAGCAGCGCTGCAGCAACAGGGGTCTGCTAAGCCGCTGCTTCTGGGGCTTACTCGTTAAAGGATTGCTGCTGCTGCACCGTATGCAGCTGCTGCTGCTGCTGTCAGCAGCAGGAGGCTGCCCTGGGCCTCTCACTGTGCAGCTCCTATCAGCCACAGCGAAACGCTGCAGCTGCCACAACGCCTTGCAGCAGCAGCAGCAGCAGCAGCAGAGGCAGCAGCGAGAGGGACAAGCAGCACAGCAGCAGAAGCAGGCGCAGCTGCAGCTACAGCAGCAGCAGGACCGGAACCTCCCCCAGCTGCTGCTGCTAGACCCCCCAAAAGAGCAGCAGCGAGGGACCCCCGGCTTTGCTGCAACAGGTGCAGCCACTGCAGCAGCTGAAGCAGCAGCACCAGCAACAGCAGCAGCAACAGCAGCAGCAACAGCAGCTGGCAGCGACGACAGCAGCAGCAGCAGCAGACGTGCTGCCTTCTGCCTTGTTGAGGCCCAGTACAGGGGCTCTGGGGGAGAGTTTAAGGGAGGCTGCTTCTTCCGTATGGCTTTAGACACGCCACAGCAGCAGCAGCAGCAGCAGCAGCAGCAGCAGCAGATGGAGCAGCCGCAGCCTCAGACGGAAGCAGCAGCTGCAGCAGCAGGGTTTGTTGTTGCAGTGTCTGCAGAGACAGATGAATTCGGCTGGGCCTACGGAGACAGCTTAGAAGGCCCCTGGGGGAAAAAGGAGACACCTACAACTGACGTACGCAGGCGCCGGTAAGCTGCTGCTGCTGCTGCTGTTGCTGCTGCTGCTGCTGCTGCTGTCTGTGCTGCTGTGCTGCTGCTTTCTCTGTGGCTGAAGCTGTGTATGCTGTCGCTGGAGATTTGTTGCTGCTGCTGTTCTCCTTGGCATCGAGGCTTTGCTGTAGGTTCCGTTATTTTTGCTGCTGCGGCTGCTGCTCCTGTTGCTGCTGGTGCTGCTATATCTTTGTTCCTGCTGCTGCTCTAGACAGCAGCATTGTGTGCTGCTGCTTGTTGCTGTCTCCTTTTCGCTTCAGCTGGCTGCCGCCAGGAACTGTAATGCGCGGCCGCATAGCGGGGGGCACTATGCAGCTGCAGCAGCAGCAGCAGCAGCAGCAGCAACAGCAGCAGAAGGCATTCACACCACATCAGAAGCAACTAGCGGAGGGGCCCCATGTGGGTGTACAGCAGCAACCACAGCAGCAGCAGCAGCAAGTGTTGCGTCGGCAGAGCGTGGAGGGTGGATGTTGCCCAAGCGAAGCTAGCTGCAGCAGCAGCAGGAGCAGCAGCAGCAGCCGCCGCAGCAGCAGCAGCAGCAAGAACAAAAAGGCTGTCCTCAGTGAAGCAGCAAGAATGGCGTCTTCGTGGTTAGGAAAAAAGCTGCGGGCGCACACTGCACAGCGCCCCCGAGGGGCTGCTGCTGTTGCTGCGCAACAGCAGCAGCAGCAACAACAACAGCAGCACCAGCAGCAGCAGGTACAGCCCACCGTGTGGAGCCTTCCTGCATGTGTTGAAGACGATTACTTCTCAGCCGCAAGCACAGCAGCACAAGGCACTGCAGCAGCAGCAGCAGCAGCAGCAGCTTCAGCAGCAAGTGCAGCAACCCCACCAGCCCCCACGCACAGCGGCAGTGAGAGCAGCAGGGGTTGCTTGGATGCACAACAACCTGCTGCTGCATCTGCTGCTGCTGCAGCAGAGTCTCTTTCGGATGCGGGTTCAGTAAGCTGCGCTGCAGCAGCATCGGAGGCAGCAGCAGCTCTAGCAGCAGAAGCTACTGCTACTAATGCTGCTGCTGCTGCTGTATCAGAAGCGGTGCCCGCTGCTGCAGTGAAAGATGCGCCTGACTCCGAGACAGAGGCAGCAGCAGCAGCAGCGGAAGATGCTCGTACAGCAGCAGCAGCAGCAGATGCTCCAACCGCAGCAGCAGCAGATGCTGGTCCGCCTGCAGAAAAGCAAGGCCAAGCAGCAGGAGATGAGGAGACGGAGGCAGCAGCAGCCACAGCACTGCCGCACGCAGCAGCGACGAAAGAAGGAGCGCAGCCTGCTGCAGCAGCAGGTGATGCAGCAGCAGAGGTAGCAGCAGCAGCAGAAGACGCGAGAGGGGCAGCAACGGAAGGGCCGTCAGGAGAAGCAGCAGCAGCAGCAATAGAAAGAGAGGAGCAGAGCGGAGGCACTGAAGAGCTTGAGCCCTGTGCTGCATCTGCCGCAGCAGCAGCAGCAAACGCAGAATCAGCACAAAATGCTGCAGCAAAAGAAGCAGCAGAAGCAGCAGAAGCAGAAGCAGCAGCGACTGCTGCAGCAACAGAAACAGCAGAGGCCGCAAAATCAGGGTCTGCAACACCAGCAGCAGCAGGAGAAGCAAAGTTACCAGAGCCTGCTGCAGCAGGAGACGGAGCAGCAGCAGAAGCAGCAGCAGCAGCTTCTGCAGCAGCAGCAGTTGAAACACCGCATGAAACAACAGCAGCAAAGGAAGGAGCTGCTTCGGACACAGCTGAGGGCACCAGGGATCTTTCGTCGGTCGCTCCAGCAGCAGCACAAGGTGCAGTGCCTTCAACAACCGCAGCAGCACCTCCTGCTGCTGCTGCAGACGGCAGCAGCGGAGGTGGGCTGCGAGGCTTTTGGTTTGAGTTGCTGGGGGTCCCCGAGATGAAGGGGCCCTTCTCCTCGGCCTCCTTGGCAGAGCAGCAGCAGCAGCAGCAGCAGCAGGCGCGAGAGCAGCAGCAGCCACAACAGCAACAGCAGCAGCAACAACAACAGCAGCAACAAGGCACTAGAGGAGGGAGGAGGCTGTCATTATCGTTTTATCGAGATAGAAAGCCTGAGCAGCAGCAGCAACAACAAAAACTACAGCAACAGCAGCAGCAGCAACAGCAGCAGCAGCAGCAGCAACAGCAGCAGCAGCAGCAACAGCAGCAGCAGCAGCAACAGCAGCAGCAGCAGCAGCAACAGCAGCAGCAGTTGCTACAGGACGTGCACCCCCTGCAGGAGATCGGCCCATCCGCTGCTGCTTTGTTGGTGCTGCAGCGAGAGCAGCAGCAAATGACTCCGCAGCAGCAGCAGCAGCAGCAAACTGAGCGAGCAGTATGCCGGCTACACCGGGCTGAAGAGGCTCTGTGGCTGCAGCAGCAGCTGCAGCAGCAGCAGCAGCAGCGGGGGTGGTGGCCTTGCCCTAGGCTTCCCCTTTGGGCTGTTCCTCCTCCTGTATCTTTCTGCTGTCTCTGTGGTGCGGATCTATCATCGCGTGCATTGAGAGAAGCAGCAGCAGCAACAGCAGCAGCAGCAGCAGCAACAGCAGCAGCACAAGCAGCAGCAGCAGCAGAGGACAGCGCTTCGGTTGAATCGGCCTTTCTGCATGGATCCCTCAGCAACACCCTCAATGCTGCAGCAGCAGCAGCAGCAGCAGCAAAAATGCCCAGCATTCCTTGTGCTGCTTCCCTGCTGCACCAGATGCTGCAGGGCCGCTGCACTCCTTCCTCTCCAGGTGTACAGGCAGATGCTGCTGCTGCTGCTGGTAACTACCCCACAGCTTTGTGTGCTGCTTGCTACACTCGGGTACTAAGAGGGCGTGCAGCAGCAGCAGCAGCAGCAGCTGCTGCTGCTGCTGCCAACGCACTCCGAGGGCATGGCCTCACAGGAGGTCGCACTCATCCAATACACTGCAAGGACTCATCTGCAGCAGCAGCAGCAGATGCTGCTGCTGCTGCTGCTGCTGCAGGCAAAAGTGCTGTAGTGGGCGAGACGGCTGCAAATGCAGCAGCAGCAGCAGCAGCAGCAGCAGAAGGCTGCTGCGAGTTGCGCCATTCCCCGGAGAACAACGAGCAGAGCAGCAGCACGAGCAAACCTATCATCAGCAGCAGCAGCAGCAGCAGCAGCTTGGATGTGTTTGCTGCGTATAGAGAACTAAGAGGAGCAGCAGAAAGGCTGCTTGATTGCGTCTGGCATGCTGCTGCTGCTCTTGAGAGGGCTGTGAATTTGTTTTGCTGGGGGAGCGAGGACGTAACGTGGCTGCTGCTACTGCTGCTGCTGCTGCTGCTGCCCGTGCTTCTGCTGCTGCCCCTCAGCCTGCTGGGGGGTTTCTTTATCTTTGATCTCTTCTATACGGGCCTCAAGCGAGGCATCTGGAAGCGTCATGCTACTGCTGCGCTGCAGCAGCACCTGGCAGCAGCACTTGCTGCAGTAGCGGGGGGACCTATAACGTTTTGGTGCTTCAAGCTGCGGCAGCAGCAGCAGCAGCAACAGCAGCAGGAGCGACAGTGGAAACAGCTGCAACAAGAGCTGCTGCAGCGCACCGGGGTGTATGTCCCTGTGTCTGTGTTTGCTGCTAGCTACAGTGAAGCAGCTCTAATAGAAGAAATAAGAAGGCTGTCTCCTTTTGCTGCTCCTCTCGTAGAGCCCAACCCCTGGTGGCTGCTGGGGCTGCTGCAGCACTCCCCCACAGATGTTACACACGACACAGCGGAGCAGCTGCTACTCTAGTAGTCTGCTGCTGCTGTTGCTGCTGCTGCTGCTCATGCTGCTGTTCATAGTTCTGCTGATTTTGCTGCTGATGCTTTTGCTGCTGCTGCTCCTCACACGGAGCTGCAGCGGCGGTGCTCTGCTTGCGCACTGGCGTGGGCAGCAGCAACAGCAGCAGCAGCAGCAGCAACAGCAACAGCCACAGCAACAGCAGCAGCAACGGCATAATAGAGCAACAGCAGCAACAAGCACGCAGCGCGAGCTGAAGCAGCAACAGTAACATGCTGCTGCTCCAGCAGCAACAGCATCTGCTGCTGTTGCTGCTGTATCAGGTTATTTGTTGGTTGTATTTGCTGCTGTTGGAGACACAAAAAGAGACAGCAGAGAAATGTTAGTGTTTGCCTAGCGGATTTCAGCCGTGTGCTGCACCGGGTCTCCAACTGGTGCTGCTGCTGCTGCTGTTGCTGCTGTAGCATCTGTTGCTGCTGCTGTAGCTGCTTCTGCACCGTGGCAGCATAGACAGAAGGAGACAGATAGGCAGAAGCAGCGGGATACAGAGACAGACACACGTTAACAACGACAGAAGCAGCAAGAGTAGCAGCAACAACACCTGCAGCAGCAGCAACAATACCAGCAGCAGCAGCAGCAAAAACAGCTGCATCAGCAACACCAGCAGCGCCCCCAGTATCAGCAACAGCACCGCCAGCATCAGCAGCAGCACTATCAGAATCTGCAGCAGCAGCAACAGTAGCAGCAGCACTATCAGAATCTGCAGCAGCAGCAACGGCAGCAGCAAGACAAGCAGCAAGTGATAAGAAGCAGGAGATAAGAGTTGTAGTATTAAGAAAGGGACCCTGTAAGGACCTGTTTGTTAATAGCCAGCAAAACAAACAAAACCCCAAAATCAAATGGTGCAGCAACGCTTAAAGCAGCAAGGCTCGTTGCCTCTGCTGCTGCTGCTGCAGTGCTGCTGCTGCTGCTGCTTTTGCTTCTCGGAACAATGGCTAGTGCAGCAGCAGATCAACCTAAAACAACCCCATAAAGAAGGGGAGACACTTCGAGACAGGAAAAACTGGAATGATAGTGCTGCAGCAAACGCATGCAGCAGCAGCAGCAGCAGCAGCAGCTTACCTGCTGCTGTTGCTGCTGCTGCTGCTGCCTCTGTATCCTCAACACTGCAGGGGAAGACTACAATACCTAAACGAAACCTCTGCACATGCAACTGGTTCCGTTACATGCATGTTGCTGCTGCTGTATCTGCTGCTGCTGCAGTTGTTTCTGCTGCCGCATCTGTTGCAGCTGTTGCTGCTGCTGCTGCTGCAGTTGCGGTTCCTGTATGTTTTAGAAGGCACACCGAAGATTGAAGACGCTACAGCGCCATGCTAATACCTGAAAAGTGCGCTGCCGCATTTGCTGCTGCTGCTGCTGCATTTGTTGCGGCCGCTGCTGCTGCTGCTGCTGCTGCCGCTGCTGCTGCTGCATGAGTAATAATCAAGCATAGAGGGCATTGCCTCTTGCTAGAAGCTGCACAGCTGAAGCAAGAAGAACATCTTCTTCTTTAAGAAAATCAAAGAACTCTTTATAGCTGAGGCTGCTGTCCCCATTTGTATCTGCTGCAGTAAAGATAAATGAAGCAGCAAACGGCAGCAGGTGCTGCTGCAGCGGTGCTGCTTCCAGCCATCCAGCCCCCAACTCCCCTGCCCATGGGGTGTCAAGCACAGCAGCAGTAGCTCGGACGCTGCCTGCTGCTGCTGCTAGCTGCAGCAGCTGCTGCACGTGTAGCTGCTGCAGCAGCAGCAAACATAAGAACTCCGCTGCATCCAAAGTATTGCTGCTGTCTTTATCAGAGATAGCAAACAAAAATGAAGCTTCAGTGTGCTGCACAAGAGACACCAAAAGCCCCTCAAGCACCTCCACACGCAACGCGTTGCTGCTGTTGCTGCTGCTGCTGCTGCTGATGCTGTTGCTGTTGTCTTTAAGGGCAGCAGCAACAAAGTTGGGCAGCATCTTCCCCATGCGGACAGTTGCTCTCGCATGAACTATCGCAGGACTCAGCACCGCAGCGTGTTGCTGCTGCTGCTGCTGCTGTTGCTGCTGCTGCTGTTGCTGCTGCTGTTGCTGCTGCTGTTGCTGCTTTTGCAGCTCCTGCAGCTGCAGCAGCATCTTGTCTCTAAGGTGGGTGCTGCTAGCCTGCAGCGCGAAGAGGTAAGGGGTCCCCTCAGCATAGAAGAGAGTTGCTTCTTCAATATACTCGGAGGTAAGTGTCTCCAAATTGCTTTTCATTGCTGCTGCTGCTGCTGATGCCTGCTGCTTGCTGCTGCTGCCAGCAAGTGTCTCCCCCAAAAGAAAGGAGACAGCATCAGTAGCAATAATACCATCAAGAGCAGCAGATGTAACTGTTTGCTGCCCGGCGAGGATCTGCAGCAGGCGCAGCACCTGAGGCAAAGCCAGCCCCTCCTCCTCTTGCTGCTGCTGCTGCTGCTGCTGCTGCTTCTGCTGTTTGATTGGTGTGAGAGGGGTGTTAAGGGAGTTCAGCAGCTGTTTTAAGTAGGAGACAGTTAGAGGCTGAGCTAGTGCTTCTCCTGCTGCTGCTCTCAGCAGCTTTGCTGCTTCTTTGAGAGTAAGATAAGGTGTAAAGCTGTCTCCTTTGTCTGCACTGTCTCCTTTCTTTCTTCTCCCTTGCTGCAGCTTCTTTATTGTTTTTATATAAGGGCTTAGCGGCTCAATACGCACACCTTCAGGTGTGCTGAAGATTCGCCTGCGGCCTGCAGGTATAACTGCTGCTATTAAACTCCATTGTTCTGCTGCTGCTGCTGCTGCTGCTGCTGCTTCTGCTGCTGCTTCTGCTGCTGCTGCTGCTGATGATGATGCTGATGATGATGATGATGATGGTGATGATAATGATGATGATGGAGATGTTGTTGCTGACCGTGCTGCTGCTGCTGTTGCTGCTGCAGCTGCTGCTGAGGTAGACGGTGAGGGGCGAGCGGGACAGGAGACATCATCCCTGCTTGCTGCTTCCACTTCATCACAGTGAAGCTGCTGCTGCTGCTGCTCCTGCTGCTGCTGCTCCTGCTGCTGCTCCTGCTGCTGCAGCTCTTCAGCCCCTATCAACGGCCCTAAGGGCTGTGCATGGGCGGCAGCTAGCACGCTAGTACTTCTGCTGCTGCTGCCGATGCTGCTGCTGCTGCTGCTGTGGACGGCGAGTTGCTGCTGTGTAAAGGGACAAAACAGCAGCAGCAGCAACAGCAGCAGCAGCATCTGGTTCCCCTTCAGATTAAGAAACATTGCTAAAAGGGGGGGGAGGAATGAACGAGATTGACAGTGGAAGCCAACTTCTGCTGCCTTCTTGCTGCTGCTTCTGCTGCACCAAGCACAAGAAGCAGCAGCAGCAGCAGCAGCAGCAGCAGCAGCAAGAAGGCAGCAACTGGCTTGAACCCAACAGCAGCTGCCCCTGCTGCTGAAACAAGAGTAATGGGAGCGACGGACGGAGCAAAGGCAAGGATTAGAGCCAGCTGCAAAAACCTGCTTCTGGTGCTGCCACTGCTGCTGCTGCTGCTGCTGTTGCTGCTGACGCTGGCGCTTGTGCTGTCGACAGTGCTGCTGCTGCTGCGGTGTAGCTGCTGCTTCTGCTGCAGTTGCCACTGTTGACTGCAGCAGCAAAACAAACTGACAGCAGGTGGATAGAGCTGGGGATCTGAGGGGGGAGAAGCTGCTTTGGAGACACTGTAGCTGCAGCAGGAGGATAACGAGCAACAATAGCAATAGCAGCAGCAGCAGCAGCAACGCCAGCAGCAGCAGCAGCAACAGCAGCAGCAGCAGCGAGTGAAGCGGCGACAAATAGATGAAAAGGATGAAAAGTAAATAAGCAACAAAGGAGAAAACCCCAGACAGTCGGCCGTCGAGGAAAAACGTGCAGCTGATATCTTTTGCTGAGTCGGCAGCAGCACTGCAGCACCAGCAGCAGCACCAGCAGCAGCAGCAACAGCAGCAGCAGCAGCTGCAGCACCACTGCTTTGTACTGCAATCTCTGCTTGTTTGCCTCTGTATGAAGAAAATACTAAGGATATTTCAGGTGTATGTACACTGCAAATTCAAATGAAGAAGAACAGCCCTCTCAGACTCTGCCGCTGACCGAACCGGCGGGATGAGTTAGGGTTTAGGGTTTAGGGTTTAGGGTTTAGGGTTTGTGTTTTGGGGGGAGGAGAGTGTGTAAAACGGCCAATAAATAATAATGAAGACATTTAAACGCCAGAAGGAAGGCTTTTAATTCGGGGGTTTGCTTCAAGGGTTTAGGGTTTAGGGTTTAAGGTTTAGGGTTAGCGGGCTGCGGACATCGTCGATAGCACGGCAGCAGCAGCAGCAGCAGCAGCAGCAGCAGCAGCTGGTTGAGGTGTATGTACACCTCACCAAAGCAACACAAATCAATATAAATAAATACGTAGTTTGTTTTGGAGTCTAAAAAGCCCCAACCCCAGCACACAAATGACTCAAACCCTAAACCCTAAACCCTAAACCCTAAACCCTAAACCCTAAAGGCGTGCTTTCAAGGATAATGTGCGCCTCTCCCTACTGAAGTCCCAACAAACAGTCCTCGATATAATCTACACAACTCAGACTTGTCCTAGGGTTTAGTATGGTTTAAAAGGGTTTAGGGTTTACAAGGGTTTAGGGTTTGAAAAGGTTTTGGGTTTGAAAGGGTTTAGCAGGGCTTAACAAGGTTTTGTACCGTTTAAAAAGGGTGTAGGGTTTGAAAGGGTTTAGGGTTTGAAGGAGTTGAGGGTTTAGAAGGGTTTTGCAGGGTTTAGGGTTTAGGGTTTAAGGGTTTTATTCGTTTCAAAAGTGTTTAGGGTTTAAAAGGAGTTGGTGGGGCTTAATATAGCTAAGTACGCCTGTAAAGATGCTCTAGTAAGGTTTAAAAGGGTTTAGGGTTTAAGAGGGTTTAGGGCTTGAAGAGATTTAGGGTTTAGGGTTTAATGCGGTTTAAAAGGGTTTTAGGATTTAAAAGGGTTTAGTAAGGCGTATAAGGATTTAAAGGAACAAGATAGTTCTTATTAGGGTTTAAGAGGGTTTAGGGCTTATTAGGGTTTAATAGCACTTAAAAGGGTTTAGGGTTTAGTAGAATGTAAAAGGGTTTGAGGCCTTCAAGGGTTTAGAACGCCTTAAAAGGGTCAATGGATTAAAAGGGTTTAGGGTTTAGGGTTTAGGGTTTATGGAGAGCACCGCTTCTCCTGTCGCCGTTTTAGGGTTTAGGGTTTGCGTGCACCGCTGTTGATGCATCCCTCCAGAGCAGCAGCAGCAGCAGCAGCAGCAAGAGCTGCAGCAGCAATAGCAGCAACTGTCTCGCCTGCTGTTTCCTGCTGCGTCATCCGCTTCCACTTAGAGCGTATACAGAGGCTAGCTGCTTTGAAATGCGGAGACACTGCAGAAGCAGCAGCAGCAGCAGCTGCAGCTGCTGCTGCCGCTGCTTCTGCTGCAAATGCAGCTGCTGCTGCAGCTGCAGCTGCTGCAGCTGCATTTTATTCTTGCTGCAGCAGCTTCCTCAGCAGCTACAGCAAGACAAAAGAAGCTTCCATCTGCTCAGCAGAAGTTGCTGCTCAGGATCGGCATTTGCCTCCCTGTATCTCCCTTTGCTGGTGCTGCTGTTGCTGCTGCTGCTGCTTTAACTGTCTCCTTAGGGACAAACAAAGCCGCAAAAGATTCCATCTTTGCTGAGGTAGCTGCTCCGGTCTTGCAAGAGGCCGAACCCAGCAGCAGGAGCAGGAGAAGCAGCAGCAGCAGGAGCAGCATTAGGAGCAGCAGCTGCCTGTCCGGCGGCATTCTGCATGGGGTAGCAGCGGAAGCTGCACTCTAATGTGTCTGCTGCAAACTGTCTCCTTTCTTCTTCTGTCTCCTCTCTGGGGTCTCCATTTGCTGCTGCAGCGGCGCTCCCTCTGCCGCTGAGAGCAGGACAGCCGCGAACAAGAGAGAGACAGAAGAGCCTGAATGCTGCTCCTGCTGCTGTTGCATCTGCTTCTGCTGCTGCTGCTTCTGCTGCTGCTTCGGGTGTCTCTGCAGCTTGCAGCTGCAGAGACACCAGGCTGCAGTCTGCCCCTCCTGGTAGCGGCAGCGCCGTTATCTGTGGGGTGGGAGCCTCAGGCAAAGCAATATTTTCTTGTTCACTGTCTGCTGTCTCCTCTTGTGTCTCTCCTGCTGCAGCAGGGGGACGGGAAGGCAGCAAAAACGCCAGCATCGAGAGAAACAAACCCTCAAATGCTGCAGCAGATAAAGGAGACATATCAGATTCACCAGCTGTCTCCTTTGGCCAATCAGGCAGCAGCAGCACTGGTGTGCTGCTGGAGACAGAAGGATACAGTCCCCCGGAGGCCCCTCCTGCTGCTGCTCCTGCTGCTGCTGATGCAGTTGACTGCTGCTGCAGGAGCGCAGGTGGGGCGTTGCCAGACATAATAGCATCAAATCGCTTGAGCTTCTCAGCAGTAGAAGATGTGGGAGGAAGTGTGCCGTTCTGAGTTTGCTGCTGCTGCTGCTGCTGCTGCTGTTGCTGCTGCTGGGCTGCGGGAAACGGGGAAGTGTTTTGCTGCTGATGGGGGGAGATAGGTTGCTGCCTGATTAAGGAAGAAGTGTCTCCTTGGAAGCTCTTTCTTTTGTCTCCTAGTGCAGCAGGACAGCATGCTGATTCCCCCAAGAGCAGCACGAGTGCCTGCCCCAGGCCTCCAAAGGGGTTTGCTGCTGCAGCAAGCGCAGCAGTATCCGCCGGGCTGTCTTGTGCTGCCTGCAGCAAAGGAGGCACCTCAGCCCCAGCCTCTACACTATCCCACCGCTGCAGCGCAGCATGAGGAGACACCAGGCCCCGACCCAAAGGCCAGCGGATGCATTCGTCCCCGTACCTACAGCAGCAACAGCAGCAGCAGCAAAGAAGGCGCGTAGCAACAGCAGCAGCAGTAGCAAGGGAAATGCGCAGCAGCACCAGCAGCGATGGAAACACAAAACAGCAGCAGCAGCAGCAGCAGTGCAGACCCATAGCAGCAGCTGCAGCAACAGCAACAGCAGCAATGGAGACACAGCTGCCGCAGCACCAGTGGGAACACAGCTGCAGCAGCACCAAAGTGACATATAGCCGCAGCAGCAGCAACAGCAACAGCAACAGCAACAGCAACAGCAGCAGCAGGAGTGCGCAAGGGGCGAATCGTTAGCAAGAAGGAGAAACATTTAGAGACAGTTGGTTTGCTGTTTTGTTTACGTTTTCTCCTGTGTCCACAGCCAAAGAGCTGCTACCCAATCTGCTACATCTTGTCTACCCAGCAAATCAGGTTGCTGCAGCAGCTTGCTGCTGTCTCCAACAGCAAAAGCCCCAAACGCTGCATATGCTGAATTCCCTCTTATCTGCATGCACAGCAGCACCAACACAAAACTATAAAAACTAATAAATTATAGGTCTTCAACAGCAAACCTATATAATATATATATATATATATATATATAGCTGCGCATCTACATTTAGAAATATGTTTTTACATATATATTTATATAGAGACAGCTACAGGTAAATACAGAGACAGAGACAAAAATAAGGTAGAGAGAAGCGCAGATAAAGAGATAGAGAGACAGACAAAGACAAACAGAGACAGAGACACGAAAAGAAACAAATAAAGAGACGGAGACAAAAAGAAAGACAGACTAAGACAGACACAAACAAACAAACAAACAAACAAAGAGACAGACAGAGACAGAGACAGAGACAGAGACAGATAAAAAGAGACAGATAAAGAGACAAATAAATAAAATCTTCCCCCTTACTCCAAATGGCCCGCGAGCCCCATAGGAGACACCCGGTGCGCATGGGGCCTCCTCTGTCTCCGTGCAGTGTCTGTACACCCCAATAAAACAAAAAAATACAAATACAAATAAACGTCATTCAACAAAACTCAGATAATTCGAATAACCTTATGTACATGTATACATATGTATGTATATATGTATATATATATATATATATATGTATATATATGCATATACGCATATCAATATATATGTATGTATATGTATATCAGAATATATATATATATATACATCTATGATTATATAGACTTATGCAATATGCATACATGCATATATATATACGTATATTAATTTATTCATTTTAAAGGCCTACTGCATGCAGATAAGCAAATAACAAACGCATGCAAACGGATCCAAGTGAAGAATATCTGCATGCAAGTTGAAACGCATGCAGTGCATGGAGCTGTGTGGGGTGTATCTCCATCTGAGGTGTATGTACACCTGAGAGATGTCTCCTCCCTAAAGGAAGTAAAGAAGTTTGTCTTCAGCAGAGCATAACTCAAAAAAGCAACAAACTCCTGAAGCGCCGTAAACAAACCCTTTCCATGAGGGCTCCTCCCTGCAACAGAGCAGCAGCAGCAGCAGCAGCAGCAGAAGAAGAAGAAGATACGGCAGCAGACGCATCAGCAGTAAGCACAGTAGCAGCAGCACCACATACACATAACAACTCCAAAATCCTACGCAAGCAGACCGCTACAGAATGCGTGCAGAAGAAGCGCCTGCTGCTGCTGCTGCCACTGCTGCTGCTGCTGCTGCTGCTGTTGCATGAACAGGGTTGCAGCACCCTGCTTCTCCTGCCTCGGTGACTGGCCTGTGGCTAGCTAGCTAGCCACCCCCTCCTGCCCCTCAACAGCTAGCTAGCTAGAGCTTGGGAGTTCTTCTGCTATATGCAGGAGCAAACGCATCAAGCTAGGTAGCTAGCTACCTATATGACTGGCTAGCTGTATGAGAGCGTGGCTAGCTGCGTATACACCTGGCTAGATGCTGATCTGTCGGACAAGGATGCTGCCTCTTCGCCCAAGCAGCTTCACGGCTAGCTAGTGGCTAGCTGGTGGATAAAGGGTGGCTAGCTGGTGGCTAGCTGATGGCCAGCTGGTGGCTAGCTGGTGGCTAGCTTGCGGGCTCGCTCTCAGTAGACTCACCAGCAGAGTGCGAGTGCAGCTACCTGCCCAGGAGCCCTACTAGCTGCTCCTTTACCTAGCTAGCTAGCTAAAGGTATCCGTGTATCTATATATCTAGCTAGCTAGCTAGCTAGGTATATAGCTAGCTCTGCCCACCTTGACCCGAGAAGACAGGTTTGAAGTCCTCATGCTGCTGCAGCGCACAAGCGATGTCTTTATGCAGCAGTGCTGCTGCTGTCTCTCCCTTCATGTTGCTTCCGCCTAAAGGAATGCCTCTATAAGAACCCCCACCAGGGAGACGCCTAAAGGCCTCCTCCAAGCCAGAGACAGAGACCGCCTGCAGAAGCAGCAGCAGAAACAGCAGCAACATAAGACGCAGAAGCAGCAGCAACAACAACAGCAGCAGCAGGGGCGGCTCCATTAGCAGCAGCGCCTGCTTGTCCTTCTGTCTACGCAAGCAAGAAACATCACCCACTGTGGCAGAAAGGTACCGCAGCAGCCGATGAAGCAACTGGAATGCTGCTGCACCAGCTGCTGCTGCAGCTGCTGCAGCAGCATATGCAGCAGCAGCAGCATATGCAGCAGCAGCTGCCGTAGCAGCTGCAGCAACAGATGCAGAAACGTACAACAAGTGCTACCGAAGGGCACACAGCCCCACAGGAATCGCATGCACAACCACAGGTAAAAACAGCCGTAGAACGAGAAGCAGAAACAGCAGCAGCAACAGCAGCAGCAGCAGCAGCAGCAGCAACAGCAGGAAATCACCTGCTCAAACTCGGAATCTGGATTTGGATAGGGAGGACATTTGTCCTCGGGAAACAAAGTGTCTGCGTCTTCTGCCTCTGCTGCTGCTGCTGCTGCACTTGCACCTGCAGTTGCTGCTAGTCTCTCTGACAGCTGCAAGCCAGCCATGGTCTCTGCCGGCGTCCCTGCAGCAACAGCAGCAGTTGCTGCAGTTGCTGCAGAGCAGGCAGCAGCTGCTGCTGCTGCAGCAATTCGACCGGAAAGCCTCATCGCTGTAAACTGGTGTTGCTGGTGGCACTGCTGTTGTTGCTGCTGCTGCCGCTGATGCTGCAGCTTGTGCTGCTGTCGTACCTCACCAACCTTCTCCTACGCTCCTTCTTTCTTAATAACGAGCCTCAGTGCTGCTGTCTAAAGCGCCTCTGCTCTTCCCCTTTGTCCCAGCAGTAGCTGCAGCAGCCGCGGCAGTTGCAGCGCCACCAGCAGCAGCAGTTGCTGCTGCAGCAGCAGCAATGACGGCAGCTGGAGAGCCGGTGCAGGAGAGGAGGAGACAACCCCTCTTGCCTCTCCTGGGAGACGTGCCTCTAAAGGGGGAGAGGATCGTGTAGCCAGCAGCTGCTGTCTGCTGCTGCTGGTGCCGCTGCTGCTGCTGTTGCTGCTGCTGCTGTTGCTGCTGCTGCTGCTGCTGCTGATGGCGTTGAAGGCGCTGCACGCTGTGAAGCGAAGCAAGGGGACAAAGTTTTAGAGATGAGGATTTTTCAACTGGGGAATTAACTATGACAGTTTAAAAGGGATAACAAACAAAAGAAGTTAAGGGCGGCCCTCTGCTGCTGCTGCTGCTGCTGCTGCAGCTGCATCGGGGCAGTAGGGGGGATGCTAGCTTTGCTGCAGCGACGGAAAGCAGCACAAATTTCAGTTTAATTAAATTATATATCACTAAAGGGAATTAATAAAAGCTGTATTCAGCTCCTCACCTGCCTATACACCGCAGATCTGAGGTCTAGTGCCGCTGCTGCGGCGAGGGCTGTAGCTGCAGCAGCGGCTGCAGCAGCAAAGGACTCTTCCCTGCAATATATTTCTTTATTTCTTCTTTTTATTTGTTTGCATAAATCTATTTTTATATACAAACAACAAAAATTATTTTAAATCCGCAACTCCAACACTTGGGAGGGGCATGCGGAGCTTCGATGCTGCGTGCACAGTCGGAGGCGCCCTTGATTCTTTTTTGTTTGTTTGTAATATTTATAAGAATAATAAACAAAACGAAATTATTCAATGTTATTAGACTTAATATTATATTCGGTTTTAATTTCAGAAGAAGAGGCAACATAGAGCGCCCCCTTTACCTGGTTATGACTTCAGTATTGCTGTACACCATTGGTCACCTGTTAGCCTTATCGCTGCAGCACCCCACAACAGAGGCAGCAGCTTCTCTACATGATTGTATGGGGAGTATAGAAAGTAGAGAATTTATTGCAGCGGGGCTTGAGGGGCCTCCATGGCTTCTAAGAGCCCCCAGGGCACCTGGGAGCGCCATTAGGGATACTCTGAAGGTATAGAGGGGGCTTAGGAGGGGCTCAGGAGCTTGCAGAGTGTCTGCACATCACACGTTGTGCTTTATACATGGATATGCTCTCAGGCAGCATAGTTTGCGAGCCTCAAGAGAGACCCTGAAGGCCCCTTAATTGCTGCAGTCGTCACTTCGCACTTTTGTTGGGGGCAGCGCGCGAACAAAGGAGCAGAAGAAAGACAAAAGCCCTGTTAAGATAAAAAGTAAAACTCAGTCCGCATACCAAGTGTTTGAGTTGTACGGCATCCATGTACATGAACGAGGATGAGCGGAGACCAAGGGAAGGCGCCGAGGGTCACTCGTCTGCCAGCCAAGCTCAGCGGCTTGATATGTTCTTTCTCTTGCCTGTGAGCCTTTTATGTTTATGGTGATTCGTTTATCTTTCCGGCTGTAAACTGGGTTTCTTTATTCAAATAGACTTCCTCCACAAGCCTTTTCCCGCGTGGTGGAAGAACTTACGCAAAACGTGCAAAACAGTGAACGGCTGGTCCTGCTGCTGCCGCTGCAGTTGTTGTTGTTGTTGGTGCTGCCACTGTTGTTGCTTTGGTACAGCTTCCGCGTTCACAAATGTCTTTCTGTCTGCAGTAGTTACAGGTGTCGGTTTCTGCCGTTGATGTTGCGCCCTATGAGTGCAGCTCCCACTCTGTATTAACCATAGCTAGCAATGGCCAGCCCCACGCTAAGCGGGGCCCTACAGTAGTCCAGAAGCCCTCATCTAGGCCTATTACACCCCTAGCGCTCCCCCAAAAGCAACTGAAGCTGCGATAACTGACGCTGTTGCGTTGCTGGTGCTCCTTCGCTCTCTGTCCTGCTGCAGGTGAATGAGGGGTCAATGGATTGGCCAGTGGATTTGCGCCGATAAAAGGTAATGATAGTAGGCGAAACAGCAGCAGTAGAATGAGTCGATGCCTTCGCTGAAATGGTGGTGGGGCATTTCTTGCCAATATGCGTCTTGAAGGTAGAAATATACGGGTCGTGCAGCAGCAGCAACAGCTGCAACAGTTATAGCATGCTCTGTATGAAGCAACGACGTGCGACTTTACTTGCATGCAGCTTATCCACTGAAGAGAAGTACCATTGAAAAGTTGGTGCGTATATAACAAAGGTTCAAATTGCGTCTGCCCCATAGAAAAGGGCACCGTGGGGGAGGATGAAGAAAAAGCATATGTAGACCGTATGGATATTCAGACTGTGCAAACACCTCCTGTCGTCACAAGAGCATAGGGTAGGAGTCAGCGGATTCACACTCAAAAGTCTAGGGGGCGTGGAGAGCGGCGCATCCGCCAATTTAACAACCAACAGTGTCATGCACTTCGAAACTGCCGGGGGAAAAGCAGGAACCCCAATGCACATAGAGGGGTCAATAAACCCTCAGGAGAAGCCTCTGGCCCCCATGCACGGCCCACCGAAGTGATGGGGCCACAAGAGGTCACAGGGGCACCAAATGATCCTTCAAAGCTCAAGTATGTGCCTATTATCCAAGATAGTATTAATATTCAGGAGTTGCTAGCGCTACTTGAGACAGAGTATGAGGCGGATCCGATGTCTTCAGCGACGACGAGGGTTTGCAACCTCCACGTCTTTTCTTTGTTGCAATTCATGAGACTATTAACCCGATGGCAGACAGGAGAGGAAGACCGATGAAAATATGGGTGCAGCATTTGAACTTAAGTCTAAAATGAGTCATGCGACAATAGTTCACCACTTATGCATTTTACTGGCTCACTACGACCCAATCCTACAAGTAGTATAATTGACTCAATGGATGACGCGTGTATAGCTTCCAGTAGACCCTATGAAGGTATACGTGAAGGAATTCATTAAAGTATTGACGCAGAGAAGCAATAAGACACGTAGCTTACAACCCCACTGCACCTCTGAGTTCTCGCAGCAGCATGTGTATCCTCTATTGTAAGAGGGGTGGAGGCTGTAGATTAAGCAAAAAAGAGTAATGACGCCCCAATGCAGTGCAGAGTTTCTGCCGGGAATGATGGAGAAATGCATGCATATCGTCATAATGTTTTCGCGAAGGCTGCATCCCAAGTGGATTTAGTCAACATCCGATGAACGCCACAAGTGGGTGCAGCTGAAGGTAGAATTTTTGTTCGTATTAAATAACAAGGAGCTTTCGCCCGCTGGAAGCCCGTTGCTGGATGGCGAGTGCATGCAGTTGAACTCACTCACTAAGCAGTCTCAAGCTTTGTCTCCCCAGGCTACGCCATGCTCTTCATATCTTTTTCGTTGTCCTTTTGCTCTTTTGGGTTGGGGGCTCCAGCTGGTCGCGACTTCCTTCCCTCCCCTTTAAGTGCACGCATTTCTTGTTCGGAGGCATGGCCAACAGATAAAGAAAGGGGAGGTGTAGCATATGTAGAAGTTCTGCTTGAAGCTAACGTATATATTTCTAATTGCATGCAGGCTGCGTTTTAGTGGGCACGAATGTGTTTAGCAGCTGTCCAAGGTGTTAGTTTATCTGTCAAAAAGAGGCTTGGCTCTCCTGGCATCTGGGGTTGCCCTGTAGCTGCAGTTGCAGCAAGACAGTGTCGGTACTCAGGAGAAGCTGCCTTCTGTTAATAACAGCTCCAGGTCCTTTCGCAGCTAGCTGTTCCCAGGATGGCAGTGTATCGGAGAGGGGGGTCAGCTGCTTTTTACTGGGTTTTAATCTGCATTGTCTTTACTCTGTTGCAGCACATGAGGGTCCTCTATTAAGATCAAGAACTCTCGTAACAGCAGCAGATTTACAGCAACTTTCTCCTTCCTTACCCCCCTCCCTCCCCTCCTCCCTCTTCTAACACGCAGCTTACTGCAGTAAGCAGCGAGCTATAGCTAGCTTGGCCTCAAGTTGGCTAGCTGCCGCTGGTGCTGCAGGGTAGTACCAGCCACTTAGTTGTTTGGTTTCTACTGCATCTCGTAATCGTTCGTTAGTGATGTTTGCTGCTGTGGTTGCTGGCGTTGCTTTTGCTGCTGCTGCTGCTGCTGCCGCTGTTAATGCTGCTGCTATCATAGTATCGAATGAAACAGCAGCACTAGCCGAAGCCGAAGCACTCCCAGAAGCAGTAGCACTTTTGCTGCTGTTGCTGCTGTTAGTGCTGCTGCAGTTGCTAAGGTACTAGAAGAACTGCTGCTCCAAGACAGGCTCACAGTATTGCAGCTGCGGTGTTTATACACCGCACCATCCGTAGACATATTTATCTTTGAAATGTATTTCATTATAGTATATTAATTTAATTGCTTGGCTAATGTAAAATACTTCCTAGAAGACTGCCCTGTGTTCACCGTTGTCCCAGTGTAAACAAAATGCTGCAGCAGCAGCAGCAGCAGCTGCAGGAGCAGCAGCAGCAATAGCAGCAACAAGAGCCACAGCAGCAGCAAGATGCAATCAGTTGTGTGTTATTTCTAAACCAAGAATTTATAATAAAACCTCACAAACATAAGCAGACAAAGCCAGAGGGCGCTGCCTACTCCCTGCTGCAGATCCTGGAGAAGCAGCAGCAGCAGCAGCCGCAGCAGCAGCGGCAGCGGCGTCGGCAGCAAGTTCTTACTGCAGCCTACAAAGCAGCAGGCCTCCTTTGTAACCTGTAGCAACAGCAGCAACAACAATAGCAGCAATAGCAGCAACAACAGCAGCAGGAGCAGCGCAGGCTCTCCTCCCTTTATTATTTATTTTTCTTTTCCTCGCCGACGGTTAGGGAGAGCCTCCTGGGCAGCAGCAGGTGTACTTCTGAGTTGCTGTACGTACACCTGAAGCTGCAGCAGCAGCAGCAATAACAGCAGCAGCGGCAGCGCAACCATCAGCAGAAGCAGCAACAACAGCAACAGCAGCAGCAGCAGCAGCAGCAGCTGAAGGGAGCAGCATGGATCCTTCCCCCTTTCAGCTGGCCTTTCAAGGCCGCGCTCATTCTGCTGCTGTGCGTTGCTGCTGCTTGCTGCCTAATGGATTGCTGCTGACAGGGTCCCTAGACTCCACAGTGGTTGTCTGGCAGCAGGAGCAGCAGGAGCAGCAGCAGCAGGACGAGCAGCAGGCGCACGCGAACAACAACAACGGGACGGTTGGCAGCAACAGCAACAGCAGCAGCAGCAGCAGGAACGGCAGCAGGGCTGTGGTCGGCAGCTCGTTGGGGTGTATGTACACCCCGCATAAAGCGCTGAGGCATCACTCTGATTTTGTTTTATGTCTCTCTCCCTCTCTCTCTCATCCAGGGCAGTTCTTCTCTGGAAGCAAAGACCAAACCCTCTGCAGAGTATCTGCAGAAACAGGGGTTGTAGAGATGCATTACCTTGTAAACCCTAAACCCTAAACCCTAAACCCTAAACCCTAGCACCGTGGTCAGCCCCAGCTCACCACCCTAAAACATAGCTTCCCTATGCTGTTCAAGGCACCTAGGGGCTGCTGCCGTGGCTCCAAGGCAAGGGTTTAGGGTTTAGGGTTTAGAGTTTAGGGTTTAGGGTTTGTTCAGGGACACAAGAGTGCGGTCTGCTCCGTGGCGGAGCACCGAGGGTTTTTAGCTTCAGGAGATTGGGGAGGAGAGGCGAGGGTTTGGCGTCGTGATGATGGAGTCTTGCTGCATGTTTTGAAGCAAAACCACGCCTTTGCAGGTCTAAACCCTAAACCCTAAACCCTAAACCCTGAGCTTTGATCCCTGCATGGCAGCCCCTAAACCCTAAACCCTTACAGAGTGCAAAGAGCGGCTTACAGCTGCTTGTTCTTCCCCTAGCGACCTCTGTACTAGGGCCTATTACAGCCTAGGGTTTAGGGTTTAGGGTTTAGGGTTTAGGGTTTGGGTGGTGTTTTGCAGTGTGCTTGTGCTGGCTGGGCGAGGAGTTAGTGACGGGGTCTCAAGCAAAAAGTATTTGCTTCTGGACTGAAGAGGGGCAGCTTAAGAAGTGCATTGAGGGTGAGATTTCACGCTGCTGCAAACCCTAAACCCTAAACCCTAATCGGCCTTGGGTGAGAGGCGCAGCAGCCGCAGGGACGGAGGCACCACTCTTTAGAACACGCAACTGCAGCAGCAGCAGAAGCAACAACAGCAACATAATAGAAGGAGAGACAGGGCACAATGACAGCAGCAAAGCATAAGACCTAGGATTTAGAAACAGAGACAGAAGCAGATGTTTGAGACAGTCTGGGAACAGCAAGAAGCATGCAGGAGGAGACAGAAATATAAATAAACTCTTCTTCAGTATATGCAGTTATGCAGAGACAAAAAGAGACAGAAAAGGAGACAGAAGAGGAGACAGTTAGAACACTGCGCTGTGTCTCTTCTCTGCCTTGCAGCTGCTCACGAGGACATCATACGCTCTCTCGCCGCCCTTCCCCCTGCCTCCAGCAGCAGCAGCAGCAGCAGCAGCAGCAGCAGCAGCAGGTTTGTGAGTGTATCTAACGACCGGTGCATCAAGCTGTGGGGAGGAGACGGCCAATGCCTTGCAACGAAGCAGGACGCCCACGAGGCCTTTATCTTCGGTGAGTCTTCCGTCCCCTTTTGTCTCCTTTGCTTGTCTCTTTTATTTGTCTCCTTTTATTTGTCTCTCCTATTTGTCTCTTATTTGTCTCTTTTGCTTGTCCCCTTTGTTTGTTTCTTATATATATATATATATATTTTTGCTTAATTGTCTCCTTCATTTGCCTCCTCTTTCTCCTTTCGCTTTCTTTTTGTGTCTCCTTTTGTCTGCTTCTTTTGTCTCCTTCTGTCTCCTCCATCTGCCTGCTACTGTCTCGTTGTTTCTCGTTTATTGTCTCTTTTTGTCTTTTTTTGTCTCCTTTGATCTCTCTTTGTCTCCTCTTTCACCTTGCTTTTGCTGCTCGTCTGTCTTATCTTCTCTCTGAGCTCCTGTCTCCTTCGCATCTGTCTGTAGCTGTCTCCTTTTGTCTCTTTGTCTCTTTCCTGGGCTGTTTTGTCTTGTTCTTTCTTTTTGTCTCTCATCTGTCTTTAGCTGCTGTCTTTTCCTTGCTTCGTCTCCTTCCGTCTCTGTCTCTTTTTTCTTTGCTTTATTATTATTATGCATATTAATATATATATATTACATTATATTATTATATGTGGGTCTACGTTTGTTTATTTTTTGTAGAGCGCGACTGTCTCCCCCTGTCGCTGTGTCTGCTGTGCTGTGTCTGTTGTCTCTTCCTGTCCCCTTTATTAAGACATGCCTTTCTCTCTCTGTCTCTTTGTCTCTCTTTGTCTCCTCCACCTTATGCCTGTCTCCTTGTATCGATTAAACAGTGAGCCAATGCTTCTCTCGTTCTCATTCCTGCTGTTGCTGCTGCTGCTGCTGCTGCTGTTGCTGCTGCTGCAGATTGCTGCGTCTCAGCCTGTCATCCGGGGTGTATGTACACCGCAGGGGACGATGGTCTCTGCTGCCTTTGGAGAATTTCAGAGGCTGCAGGTCCCTCTGTCTCTCTGCTGCAGCAGCTGCAGCACCCAGCTACTGTCTGGCAGGTCCGTTGCAGCTAATGCTGCTCTCGCTGCTGCTGATGCTGATGCTCGTGGCGGTGCTGCTGCTACGTGCTGGTGTGGCCTCTGCTCCTGCTGCTTCTGTCGCTGCTGCGTCTGCTGTAACTGCTGCATCAGTTGTTCCACTTGCTGCTGCTGCTCGTGCGGTCCCTGCTGCTGCTGCTGCTGCTGCTGCTTCTGCAGGTAGTGGAGTTGCCCACAGGCGACGTGGCGACGGCGTGTGAAGACGGAGCACTGCGGTGAATTGTGTCTCCTTACTTTCTTCACGTGTCTCCTTTTCTTTGTCTTGTGTCTCCTTGTCTTTGCCATGTGTCTCCTTGTCTTTATCTTCGTCTTTTGCTCCCTTTTCTTTACGTTTGTCTCTTGTCTCTTTTTCGTTTTATTTTGTCTCCTTTGTTATGCGTGAATTCCCTCCCGTTGCAGCTCGGCCTGTCTCTTCCTGTCTCTGCTGCGGTTGTTTGATATTGCTGCTGCTGCTGCTGCTGCTGCTGCTGCTGCTGGTGTTTCAGTGTATGGACAGCAGATGAAGCGCGGGCGCTTCCGGCTGACGTCGTTGCTGCAGCAAGAGCAGAGGCCGATGCTGTGAGTCCCTACGCCCAGTAGCAGCAGCAACAGCAACAACAACAGCAGCAGCAGCAACCGAAGCAGCAGCAGCAATAGCAGCAACAGCAACAGGTGCAGCAGGGACAAAAGAGGATCCTTGCCTCCTGCCCGGCAGATAACGCTTCTATGTGGCAGACAGCAGCAGCAAGTGCTGCAACGCCACCAGGAGTAGCAACACCACCAACGGCAGCAGCAGCAGCAGCAGGTTGCGTTCTGTGCTGCAGGGGAAAGAGACAGAAGAGAGGGGCGAAGAGTTGGACCTGCAGCAACTGCCAACTGAAGAAGAACTCAAAGTAAAATAGAACAACGGCCTGTCTCCTTTTGTCTGTCTCCTTTTGTCTGTCTCCTCTTGTTTCTCTCTCCTTTTGTCTGTGTCGCCTTTTGTCTCTGGTTGCTGCAGCCGCTGCTGCTGCTGCTGCTCTGTTGTGTTGCCTCTCTTGTTGCTGCTGCTGCTGCTCTGTTGCGTCGCCTCTTGCTGCTGCTTTTGCTGCTGCCCTCTTCGGTTTGCTGTTGCTTTGTTTGCTGTGTCCAGTTCCCTCTGCTGCTCTCCTTTTGCTGCTCTCTGGGTTTCCCTCACTGCTGCTGCATTGGGCGTCCTCAAGATTGCTGCTGCAGCGCCGGAAGCAGCAGCAGCAGCAACAGGTGTTTCTAGCTGTCTCCTGTTGTGAATGCAGAGACGCATCGGTGCAAAGGATGGCGAATTGGTGGTACGTTCAGCAGCTGCAGCAGCAGCAACAGCAGCTGCAGTTAAGGCAAAAGCAGCAGCAGCGGCAGCAGCGAAGGGAACAAGAGCAGCAGCAGGCGCAGAAAAAGAAACAGAAACGGCAGGAGCTGCAGCAGAGAGAGCAGCTGCAGCAGGGGCAGCAGCTGCAGCAGCAATAGCAACAGCGAGGGGCGCACTGCTTGTGTGTTTAGGTATGTAGAAGGGGCGATGAAGCGGTTGTCTTCGGCTGGCAGCAGCAGCAGCAGCAATGGGAGTTCGTGGGGATGGCTCTGAACCCTATCAAAAACAAAAAGAAACAAAACAGAGACAAGACGTACTTCGCAGGAGACAAGGTCAGCCTCTTGCTGCTGCTGCTAGTACTAATGCTCCTGCTGCTGCTGCTGCTAAGGCCAACGCTAGTACTGGTGGCAGTGCGGCTGCTGTTGCAAGAGCAGCAGCTTTTTGCTGAGGCTGCTGCCGTTGCTGTTGCTGCTGCTGCTGCTGCTGCGTGCGGGATTATGTGGTATTGACATCGCCTTTAATGAGAGGAGGCGACGAGAGTAAGAAAGAGAGGGGTCTGCAACACAGGCTCTGCTGCTGTTGCTGTTGCTGCTGCTGCTGCTGCAGTTCTTTGCTGCAGGGGACTATGACTTTGTGTTTAATGTCGAGATTGGAGAGGAAGGCTCCTACAAGAAATTTCCGTACAAGTACGCAGTGGTTGGCTGTTACTCTCTTCAGCTAGCGAGCCGGTGCTGTAGCTAGCTGTGCAGCTAGCTAGCTATCTAGCTATCTAGCTAGCTAGCTAGATAGATAGCTAGATTATCAGCCCGGACGTAGTCTGGTTTTCGTGGGTTTGCTGGGCAGCAAGGCAGCTAGTTCGCAGCTAGCTAGCTGCTTAGGAAGCCGGCTAGCCAGCCAGCTACGTAGGCATTCACGCCACTAGAGCTAACGCAGCTACCCATTGCTGAGTTGCTGAGACACGTAGTCAGCTGGCTAGCTAGCTAGCTAGCTAGCTAAACAGGAACCTCTCGCTCCACTTCTTCGAGGCAGCAAGATCGCTGCGTTGCAGCTAACCTGCAGGAGGGAGCTAGCTAGCTCGCTAGCTAGGTCGCCACCTGTTGCAGCTAGCTCTAGCTCCCTATATATCTAGCTAGCTAGCCACCTGCTGCATCATCTAGCAAGTTACCTAGTTAGCTAGCTAGCTAGCTAGCCAGGATGGCCTGAGGCATGCTGCTGTGGGTTGTACGCAGCCGAGGCGAGAACCCGTTGGTGGTAGCTGAGAAGTTTATAGCTAGGGAGAATTTGCATAAGACCTACTTGCAGCAAATTGTCTCCTTTATTATCGCTAACAGCGGCGGGGCTGCAGGAGCTGTCTCCTCGGGGGCTGCCCCGTCCAGTGCAGCAGCAGCAGCAACTGCAGCAGCAGGTAGCAGCAGCAGCAGCAGCGGAGACAGCGTGCAGAAACGCTTCCCCGTGCTGGAGTGTGTCTCCTTTGTTAAAGCTAACATGGAAGGACTTAAGAAGGGACTGCTGGAGGCTCAGCAGAAACTCAAAGAACAATCAAACCAGGTCTGTTGTTTCTGCTGCTGCTGCTGCTGCTGAATGCGCTGCTGTCGTTGCTGCTGCTGAATGGGCTACTGCTGCCGCAGAATGTGCTGCTGCAGCAGTAAAAAGTGCCGCTGCTGCTCTTGCTGCCTGATGTACGGATCTTGAAGCGCGCATGCGGCTGTGGCTGTCGCTGCTGCTGCTGCTGCTGCAGGCCCAGCTGTCTGCACTGGATGAAACGTATCTTGTTGCTGCTCTCGACAAGCTGCGCAGCAGCAATTTTCTGAAGGAGAACTTCAGGTGCTGCTGCTATTTTTGTCTCTCTTTTCTTGTGTCTCCTTTTTCTTTGTCTTTGTTTATCTCTTTTCCTTGCCTCCTTCGTCGTTGCTTCTGTCTCCATTGCGTAGGTGTCTCCTGTCTCCGTTTATACTTCTGTTTGCATGCACACTTGCTGCAGCTGTCTCCTGTCTGAGCTGTCTCTGTAGGAAGGTGTCTCTCTTAGGGTTCTGTCTCCTCTTTTGTCTCTGTCCAGTTTGTTTCTTCTCTGTCTCCTCTCTCTGTGTTTTGTTCTGTCTCTCTTTTTTTTTCTCCTCCTTTGTCTCTTCCATGTCTACTCTGTTTGAATTGGGCTCCTCAGTTGTCTGCTGTCTCTCTGCGTTTGTGTCTGTCTCCTCGCTATCTTCTCCTTTTCTCTGTCTCCTCTGTGTCTCTGTTTCCTTCGTTGTTATGCCTCAACTTAGCGATATATATATTATATATATGTTTATCTGTCTCCTTGCTGCTGTCCTCTCTGCTGCTGCTGCTGCTGCAGGGCGAGCGAAGTGCACGTGATGATGCAGCAGCTGTCTCTTTTCCCTGCTGTCTTTCAATTGCCTGTCTTTGATTTGTGGCGTCTCTTCTGTCTCCATCCTCAGTACTCTATGGGCTGCAAGAATACTACAAACAACGGGTGAGTGCAGCTGCCAGCTGTCTGTACACCGCAACGTGTCTACTTTCTCCTGTCTCCTTTTATAGCACCTCCCCTTCCCACCTTCAGGCTGTCTCCTTCGTCTCCCTCACCCTCTACCCTGGACACGGCAGGCAATGCGGGCACATGCTGCTGCTTTTGCTATTGCAGCAGCAGCAGCAGTTGCTGCTGCTGCTGCTGCTGCTGCTTTGCTGTTACTGCGTAACCACTGTAGGGCTCTGCTATCCATTCTGCGGGTCATTTGCTCGTCTTGGCGTTTGCTGCAGATGGGACTTTGTGCAGCTGGCGCTGCAGCGCATCAAGGAGACATGTGCTGCAGCACAGCAGCAGCAGCAGCAGCAGCAGCAGGTGCAGGGAGCGGGTTTGTTTTTGTGTTGCCTGCGTTTCTTGTCGAACCTTCTTGTGCTTCCTACCAACAGGGCAGTGCTGCTGCAGCACGCGCAGCAGGTTTGTTATCCCTTTTCTTCTTGCGTCTCTGGCTAGCTGTTTGTCTCCTCCCTCTAGTGTAGCTAGCTGTCTCTCTCCGTGTCGCTGCGTGTGGCTAGCTGACTGTCTCCCTCGCTCTGTTTGTCTCTATTTGCATGGCTAGCTGGGGGTGTATGCCTGTCCTTGCCTGGCTAGCTACCAAGGCACCTGTGTCTCCTCAGCTAGCTAGCTAGCTAGCTAGCTGTCTGCCTCAGCGTGTCTCCTCTGCTGCTGCTTCGGTTTTTGTTTGTAGCCTCCGTTTTATCAGCGTGGCGTCCCTTTTTCTTTCCGCACAGACACAAATAGCTGCAGCAGGCTTCTGCTGCTGCTGCAGTTAAGCTACAGCAGCAGCGGCAGTCAGGAGCAGCAGCAGCAGCAGAAATCTGCTCCTTTCTGGGGAGGTGTGCGTGTGTGCTGCAGCTGCTCAGCACATTGAAAACAGCTGTCTCCTCACTGTCTCTCTTTAACTCGCGACCCTGCCGCCAGGCCTTCTGTTGTCTCCTTTTAAATTTGGCTGTCTCCTGCAACGCGCTTGGCCCCAACTCTTTGTCAAGGGAACACAAAGTAGAGGTCTGCTGCTGCTACTCCTACTGCTCTGCATGCTGCTGCTGCTCTGCGTGCTGCTCTGCATGCTGCTGCTGCTCTGCGTGCTGCTCTGCATGCTGCTGCTGCTCTGCATGCGTCTGCTGCTCTGCATGGTGCTGCTCTGCATGCTGCTGCAGCTGATGTTGAGCTTGCGGTATGCATCTGGGCACAGATGCTTGGGATGTTGCTATTGCTGCTGCTTCTGCCGCCGCTATTGCTGCTGTTGCTGCCGCCGCTATTGCTGTTGTTGCTGCTGTTGCTGCTGTTGCTGCTGCTTCAGTTGTGCGAGTTGATGATGGAGGTGATGAACACAGAGACAGACCCACAGCTCTTTTATCATTGTGTTGCGGGGGCGGGTACCCTGCTGTCTGATAGCGTGACACGGCAGCAGCTGCAGCAGCAGCAGCAGCTGTTGCAGCAGCTGCAGCAGCTGCTGCCTCCCCTCAACGAACGCGTCCACCCTGATCTACCTCTTGGTGAGGCAACACAAGAGCTCCTCAATCTCATTGCATGAGCATGAATGCATGCATACAACAAATCTGCATGCAGCCCCAACGCATGCAGCCCCAATTGTTTGTTTTGCTCATTCTCTCGTCTCCCATTGGCTGCCCTCCAGTGCCCTCAGCCTTTTAACTCTTCTAACGCCTCATGGGCTGGAATTTGCCTCGCCTTTCGGGCTAGCTAGCTAGCTAGCTAGCTGGGCGTGGCTAGTTAGTCAGGTAGCTGGGCATGGCTACCTAGCTGGCAACCTAGGCATGGCGGGCTAGCTAGCTAGCTAGCTAGCTAGCTAGCCAGCTAGCTTGCTGGGCCGTGCTATAGATTCGTGGCTGAGAGGATCTGCTCAGCCTCAGTTTAAATATGAGACAGAGGGGGGGGGTTGCCCTAAAACAGCATTCGCAGCAGCTGCAAAGTCGTTGCTGCAGCGTCTTCAGCAGCAGCACCAGCAGCAGCAGCAGGATTCGCTGCTGGGGCGTGCTGCTGTTGACAGGTAACTATTGTGTCTGCTGCGATGCTACGGTGGTTGCCGCTGCTGCTGCTGCTGCAGTTGCTCCATCTACGCAGCACTTAGCCTGTTGCAGATGCGTGCAGTGTACGTTCAGCTGCTTCTTCACCCGCTACAGCAGCAGGGACCTCAGGGAGACAGTCTAGGGCCTTTGCTAAACCCTAAACAACCCGAAACCCTTAAAATAAAGGCTATTAACCTGAGTGCCTCCGCATGCGCTCCTGCATGCATGCACCCTTGCATGCATGCATCCTTGCATGCATTCACCCTTGCGTGCATGCAGCTGCCTTGGGGGAGCAAGTGAAGACATTTTATTAAAGGCGAAGCATGTGGTGTTTTTAGAGACAAATTTTCGGCTCTTCTGTCAATGCGGTGGCGGCCAAAGGACTCTCTTGAAAACTTTAAAAGAGGCGTATCTCATGCATGCATACATACATGCATGCATGCATGCACGCATGCATGCAGATGGGGCCTGCAGACCGCTTGTTTGTTGCTGCGTCTGTATAGCGTCTATTGCAGCTGCGTCTGCTGCTGCAGTGTTGGTTATTCCTCTCCCTTTGTGTGCATATGGTCAAGGCAATTGTGTCTGAAGCTGCATTTGGCTGTCTCCATTTGAAGCGTTTAAGGGGAGTGTCTCCTTTAACGAAAGGACCTTCGCTTCCCTCTCTTCTCCCCAGGCTGCTGCATGCAAGGCGCTCGCGCTGCCGCGCAGTTCAGAGCAGCAGCAGAGCCTGCAGCACACAGCCCCCACAGGCAACGGCTTGGCTAGTTAGCTAGCTAGGTAGATAGATATCTAGCTAGCCAGTTAGTTAGCTAGCTAGCTGGCTAGCTCGGTACAGGGGGGACGTACTCGAAGGGGGCACCTCGCCGCTTGCTAGCTGCTGTCTCCTCTCTTGGCGGTATCTCCGCAGGAGGGCCTGGGAGCGCATGCATGCAGCCCCAACAGCAAACTGCAGCTTTATTGTGGCCCCCTGCTACTGCCTGTATACACCCCGTGAAGCTGCTTCGGGTGTACATACAGACAGACGACAGGTAAATGTTTTGCACCCCTGCTCGCACCCGTGCATGCATGCATGGGGGCTGTTTGCATGCGTGCATGCATGCAGGGCTGTTTGCATGCAGACGGAGGCTTGTGTGCATACAATGCATGCATGCAGCAAAGAAGGATTTATTTGTCTCACCTTGAGCACCAGCATGGCTTCAATCTTAGTGCTGCTGTTAACAGAAAAGGAGACATCGTCTCTAAAAATGCAGCGAAGCGCTTCAAGTACTTCTAGCCTAGCTAGCCAGTGTATGAAGCCCGGAAGGGCCCCGGGGTGTCTGAGGTCTCCGGGGTTTGCTGCTGCTGCTGCAGCAGCAACAGCAAACGTTGCCTCGTCCTCGCCGCCCAAGTTCAGTACCGACTGTTCTTCACCTTCGCTGCATGCACCCGTGTTGTTGTTGCTGTTGTTGTTGTTGTTGTTGCTGCTGCTGCTGTCCTGTGGGCCCTGCCCAGGGGGCCCTAATGATGGCTGTCTGCTGCTGCTAAAGCTGTTGCTGCTGTTAAAGGATATACCTCTCCTCCCACTCCAACGCTCTAAAGACAGAGACACATCGGCACCTCCTTGGCGGTCCCTATAGACACAAAAAGAGACGGAGAAAAAACAGAAACAAACCCGATAGGAAGAGACAGATAAAGAGACAGGTAAAGACACGGAGACAGATAAAGAGACAGACACAGATAAAGAGACAGAGACAGATAAAGAGACAAAGAAACCGACAGAAAGAAACGGGGAGGAAAACAAGACAGAGACAAGCACAGACAGAGACAGAGAGACAAACAAGGAGATAGAGACATAAAAGAGACAGAAAAGAGGCAGAAGGAGAGGCCGAGGAAGCAGAGACCAGGAGAGCAGCAGAGGCTGAGACAGAGACGAAGACAAACAAAGCATGGGGGACAGAGACAGCAACATAAAAGGAGACAGAGATAAAAACAGACAAAGACAAAACGAAGACAAGTGCACGGAAAGGGGCAAGGAGACAGCGGAGGAGAGCGCCAAGCAGAAGAGGTGCAGAGAGAAACACAAGACAGTTAGGGTTTACGGTTTAGGGTTTAGGGTTTGAAATGATTTAACACAAAACAGATTACTGCCCCCTACCCAAAGTCGCCCGGCATCTCCGCCACTCGCTTTCGGAGCTCCAACATGAGGCGCCTGAGGGCCGAAGGAGACAACAGCAGCAGCAGCAGCAGCAGCAACAGGAGACTCAATGTAGCATTCGGAGAGCTCTTGTTCTTGTTGTAGGGAGGGGAAGGCGCGTGCAAACGTTGCAAGATATAGGGTTTAGGGGTTAGGGTTTACGGTTTAGGGTTTAGGGTTTAGGGTTTAGGGTTTAGAAGAGTGCACCGAAGAGCTGCTACGGCATCTGGGGTTTCAGTTTTCTTGCCCCTCTCTGTCTGCTTTTGGCTTGCTGCAGGAGGGGACAGTCCTCGGCCTGAGGCATCATCCACCCACACCAGCAGCAGCAGCAGCAGCAGCAGCAGCACTCCCACATCAACAACAATTGCAGCAGCACCAACGACGTGCATAGCCCCACCTCGGCATGTATGTGCAGTAGCAGAACAGAAGCAAATTGCATGCAGCGGCAACAGAGAAACCGTTATACACTGCGCAGAACGAGCCGCAGATTAAAGGGAGAGGCAATCCAGCAGCAGCAACAGCAACAGCAGCAACAGCAACAACAGAAGCAGCAACAGCAGCTGCAACAGTAGCTCACTGCGGTAGGCAGGCTGGCGGTTAGCTGCTCGGCGAGCACTCGGAGTATGATGCTGCCTCAAGGTGCGGGTTTCTTCTGGGCTTAGCAGTTGTACTTCCTGCAATGCAGCCTAACCCTAAACCCTAAACCGTAAACCCTAAACCCTAAACCCTCATGACGGACCCCATATGCATGAAACGAAAGTTGGCGGGAGCTTTGCACACACGCCAGCGCAGCAATAGTAAAAGCAGCAGCAGCAGCAACAACAACGGCAGCAGCAACAGCAGCAGCAACAGCAGCAAAGATAGTGCAAAAGGAAGCGCAGCAGCAGCACCACCAAAGAAGCAGCTGCTGCTCCAACAGAGGCGCTGCTGCTGCCAGCCGCAGCAGCAAGCGCGTCAGCAACGGAAAACAATCTGGGTGTAGCCTGAACCAGCGTTCAAGGTTGAGGGTTTAGGGTTTAGGGTTTAGGGTTTAGGCTGTACGTGCTGAACACATCGATGCTTCCACTTGATTTGCTTCAGTGCAAACCCTAGCTCTCCGTCTGCTTCCTCTAATGCTTTTCGTGCTGCCATTTTCTGCCTTCGCTCCTTTAGAGGGTCCATCCAGTAGCTGCTGGTGTCTCGTTGCTGCTGCTGCTGCTGCTGCTGCTGCTGCTGCTGCTGCGGCCTCAAGGTTTCTCCCTTCATTGAAAACTCCTCTAAGTCCTCCAGGGAGACGCGAGACCCAAACATCAGGAAGCTGTAATCTTCGCTCAGTCTCTTCTTTCCTAGAGACTCTGATTCTGGTTGCTGCTGCTGCTGCTGCAGCTGTTCCTGCTGCTGCTGCTGCTGCGGCGGCAAAGAGGAAGCCAACCGCATTTCAGCTTCAGCAAGTGCTGCAGCAGCAGTAGCAATAGTACACAAGCAGCAGCAGCAGCAAACAGCAGCAGCAGCAGCAGCAGCAATTCGTCCATTTGGTAGCAGCCAAGCGTGTTGAGGCGTTTTGTGAGTTTGCTGTGCTGCTGGAGATGCAGCGGAAATGAATACTTGCAGGCACCCTCACCTACTGTTGCTTCTTCAGTCGCTGTTTGCTGTTCCTGCTGCTCCTCCTCCTCCTCCTTTATGCGTGGCTCTTCCTTGCTTTTCAGCCCCTGTTTATTCTCCTGCTGACCCCGCTGCTGCTGCTGCTGCACATCCTGCAGCTGCTGCTTTCTCCCATGCTGCTTCTGTTGCTTCTGATGCTGCTTCTTACGCTGCCCGTGCTCATCCTGCTGTTGTGGCTGTTGCTGCAGCTCGCTTTGCTGGTGCTCGTTCTGCTGCTGCTGCTGTTCGTTCTGTTGGTACTCTTTGTGTTTCTGCTGTTTCTGCGTATGTTGCTGCTGTTTCTGCTGCTGCTGCTGCTCCTGGTCCCGGCGTAGGCCGTCGTCTTCTCCTTCGCCTGCTGGCTGATATTCAGCTTCGTGTTGCAGTTTATCCTGCTGCTGCTGTTCTCGCTGCAGCGGGCCTTCTTGCTGCACTTCAATATGTGGTTTCTGCTGCTCTCGCTGCTCCTCGCTCTTTTCGTGCAGTTGCTGCTGTTGCTGAAGCTCGACTACCTCGTCATTTTGATGTTGATGCTGCTGCTGCTGCTGTTCGTCCTGGTGCTGCAGCCGCTTAGGGGTTTGCTGCCGTTCTTCCTGCTGCCCCGCTTGCTCTCCTTCCTGCTGCCGATCCGAGATGTGCTGCTTCTCTGGCTCTTCATCCGTGCTGTGCTGCTGTTCTTGCGACTCTTGTTGCATCTGACCCTCCTGCTGCTCGCGCTGCTGCTGCTCCTCTTGCTGCCCGTGCTGCTCTGGCTGCTGTTGCTGCGCTTGCTGCTCGTGTTGCGATTGCTGCTCATGAAGCCCATCTAAATGATGTTCTTGAGGCTGCTTTTCATCCTGCTCTTCCTGGTGCAGCTGTTGCGCGTGCTGCTGCTGCTCATGCTGCTCCGGCTGCTCTTCCTCGTGCTGCTGCACCAGCTGTTCCTTAGGCTTGTCCTGCTCCTTGTCTTCCTGCTGCTGCAGCTGATGCTCCTGGTCGTCCAGCTGCTGCAAGTGTTCCTCCCGTTCCTGCTGCTGGGGCTGCTGCTGCTGCTGCAGTTCGGTAGGTTCCTGCTGCTGCTGCTGCTGCAGCGCGTTTTGCATCCCCCGTTGTGGCTGGGACTCTCCTTCTGGCTCATGCTGCTCTTTCAGCTGTTTGGCCTCTTCTTCTTCCTGCTGCTGAATCTGCTGCTCCTGCTCTTGCCGCCCCTGCTGCTGCTGCTCGTGCTGTTGTTGCTGCTCATCTTGGCTCTGCTGCTCTTCCTGCTGCTGTGGTTGCGGCTCTTCAAGCTGCTTACTGTTTTCCTCGTGTTGTTGCTTCTCGTGCTGCTCTTCTTGCTGCAACTCTGTGCCCGCCGCTTCCTCAGCCTCCATTTTCCTCCGCCGCTGTTGCCGTTGCTGTTGCTGCTGCTGCTGCTGTCGCTGCTGCTGCTGTTGCTGTTGCTGCTTGTATGGTTTCCATGCGCCAGAGTAATTGCTTTTGTTTACACTGGATGTGAGGTGAGAAAAAGCCCACGGGGTTCGGGGGCGGGATCGAGTAGAGGTGACCTCGATATGGTATTCAAACGTAAACCCTAAACCCTAAACCCTAAACCCTACACTCTAAACAATAAGCCCTAACCTCAGATCTCGGGATAATTGAAGAGATGTTTAAGAACATTTGTATTCCTATTTTAAGCTGATCTATGCGCTTTGCTAGTAAGTGACCTCGTACAGCAAGGGAGGCTTCACAAGGCACAGCTGCAGCGCTGCAGCAGCAGCAGCAGCAGCTGCAGCAGTAACACTCTACTCAACAAAAGTCCTCTCCAGTACAGGATTTCCGGCGACAACCGCCTTCAGGGCCCTGCTACAGCAGCAAGACATTTCACACTTGCTGCAGCGGCTGCTGTAGCCGCTGCTGCTGCTGCTGTTGCTGCTGCTGCTGCTGATGATCGCGCTGCAGTTGCTGCTGCAGCCCCGCACCTGAAACAAAGCTTTTTACAGAGGCCAAAAAACAATTAAGGTGTTTTGGCTTGAGGGCTTATATTTCGAGGTGTTATGCTGCAGCGACCCGAGTAAGAACAACTGCAGCAACGAGCAGCAGCGGCAGCTTGAATAGCAAGTCCTTCTGCTCATGCTGCAGCTGCTTTTCTGTGGATAGATGCACTCGTCCGGCCTTCCATAGAGACACCTGAACAAGGTGCTACGCCTTTTGTTTCTGCTGCTTGTGCTGCTGCTTGTGCTGCTGCTGCTGCTGCTGCTGCTGCTGGAGTTCTCCCTCCTAAGCTCCGTTCCCACCACTCATCTGGGCAGGCCAGCTTCCTAGCTAGCTATCTAGCTAGCTGGGTGGATTGGGGGAGTGGATTCTAATGTAGCGTCGGCCTTGCAATGGGGCCCTTCAACAGAGAAAGCCCTGAGCTGAACCGCAAGCGCAGCAGCAACAGCAACAACACCGACGGCAGAAGCAACAGCAGCGCAGCTAGCATCAGCACAGGCAGCAAACAAGCGGCAGCTGGAGCTCTTCTCTGCAGCAACCTGCAGCATCACAGGCCAACGGGAACAGCATTAGCACACCGGCTGGCGCGATGCTGCAGCGAGCTGTCTGTCTCCTTTTCATAGCGGCAACAGCAACAGGCTTAAAGTGTCTCCTAGGCCATGCATGCATGACAGTCTGCCCCAGCAATATACGCAAGTTCTGTGCCTCAGACGAGAGGCAGGCTCTTATAGATCAGCAGCAACAGAAGTACAGCAACAGCGCAGCACACCAACCTCAGCTGCAGCAAGTGCGGCGGTAGCAGCAGCGTTAGTAGAAGCAGCATCAGTAGCAGCACCACCAGCAGTAACCGAAGGCTCCCTTGCTGGCAAGAGCTGTAGCAGGACCCTATTTTGCGTGGCCAGTGATGAACAATCAACAGCATCCCTGAACAAACCCTAAACCCTAAACCCTAAAACCTAGGAGTCACAAAGAATGCCTTGTTGGCAGCTGAAGGCTGCTGAGCCTCCTTAAATGCATTTAGCTGCATGCAGCTCTCAGGTGTGCATACGCCCTTTGGCAGTGACTGTGCTGCTCGCAGCCTTGTGTTTGTGGGGTCAAGCTTCTGTTCCTGGCTGCTGCTGCTTATGCTGCTGCCGATCCGAGCAGCAGCAGCAGCAGCAGCAGCAGCAGATCCACGCCGGATCGGTCTCCAGGCAGCTCCTGCTGCGGCACATCCACATGAGTCTCTGCTTAAAAGCAACCCCTGCCTCCCGGTCTTTTCTTCCCCTTTACACTTTCTTGTAAGCGCTGCTGTCTCCCTTTTGGTGCAGTTCGCGAGCTCCAAAGCCAAGGAGACACATTGAGAAGAGACGCTTAAAGCCCTTTGAGAGGGCTTCAAGTGCCACTCCCCCTACTGCTCTGAGCCACTCACCGCTGCAGCAAAAGCAGCAGCAAAAAGAAAGCTATACGTGCACTGACAGCCCCAATAGCACAGAAGAAAGAGGGATGCTTCTTCTGTCTCTCTTTCCCTTCAGAGGAGAGGATGTAAGCATAAACATACAGAGTGTCTCCTGTGTCTCCTTCTTAAGAAAGTGGACAAGTTGAAAGCTGGCGGCAACCACAAAGGGCTTCAGCTGCAGCAGCAGCTGCTGCTGCTGCAGATGCAGCAGATTAACTTGCACAACAGCTGCCAGCTGCCAGCAAAGCCATCCAATGGCTGAGCCGCCAAATATATATATATATATATATATATCTAATATACTATATGCAAAATACAATATACTCTGTACTATATTTCCTACTGTTGCAGCTGCTGCTGCTGCTGCTGTTGCTCGCGTTGGTGTCGATCTTGATACTCAAATATATGTTTGCATATATATGCCTTTATTAGAGTATTAACAGATTTATTATTATAAAATCGATAATAAGTACAATAATTGTTATTAAACTATATCAATAATAATTATTATTATTTTTATTACTATATATATAAGTATCCCTCTCTCCGTGAGAGACTCAGCGTGAGCCTCTCGATGCTGTTTTCAAAATGTAGGACCTTCATGAATGCGTGGCTATAATATCTCTTTCTTTTTTATTATTGTTTAATTAGATTAAAATAAGTGTGCATGGGCCCCTAACTGTTTAGGAAGGTTAAATTTCCTAAACAAAAACACCAAGAATGAGATGCAGCAACCCCTGCGGCGTATGTACAGCTATCAAACCTCCTGCAGAAGTGTTTGCTGCAGCATCAAACTTTTTGTTGCTGCAGCAAACACTTTTATTTTTCTAGTCTTATTCTCAGAATGTCTTTAAAAATAAACAAACAGAAGCCCTACTGGAGAGAATACAGCAGAGAACCTAAGCCAACCTATACCAGCTGCCCCAATAAAAGGGAATAAAGGATTAAATGCTTATTTTTAATATAATATATAATATAGTTACAAATTAAATATTTAAATATCAGCACAGAGTCGATGAGAAGAGGAGGAAGACCGCGGCGGTGGGTTTGGGGGGCCCCTGGGGGCCCCTCACCCGTTGAGGCCCCCAACGCCTTCTTTGATTATTTCTCTTTTCTGCATTTATATCTTCTGTTATATTAACAGAATATTCAAAAACACTCAAATAACTCGCAATGATTTCCAAGGAAGGCAGCACTTTGCAGTTGTGAGGGCTCGGCGGCCTAGGGGCCCCGAGGCTGGGATCCGATCCCAGGTTTCTTCTCTTTTGCATGCATATAGAGTTCATATGCCTTCTCTCTTTGTCTCCTGCGGATATGGCTACCGACCCGCAGCAATACTGTTGTTCAGGGGGCCTTAAGGGGGGCCCCAGGGGGCCCCCAGCTGCATGCAGTGGCAGCTGCGAGGATATCTTCGCCGCTAGCCTCAACTCCCACGGTATTCTATGGAGAGGAGTCTTCAGCCGCCCCTCAGGTACAGCAGAAGGCTTCTGTGTGCTGCGCTTGGCCCTCGCTGCAACACTCAATAAGGGGTGTCTGCACAAATTATCCAGCAGCAGGAGCAGCAGCTGCAGCAACTGCAGCAGCACACGAATAGCAGCAGCTGCAGCAGCAGGAGTAGCAGCAGCTGTAGCGGCAGCGGCACGACCACCTTCAGCAGGGACAGCTGCAACAGGAGCAGCTGCAGCAGGAGCAGGAAGAGCGGCATCCCCATGTGGAGCAGCAGCAGTAACAGCAATAGCAGCAGCAGTAACAGCAATAGCAGCAGCAATAGCAGCAGCAGTAGCAACAGCGGGAACAGCAGCGAACGTAAACCTTCGCGCAGTTTGTCTCTTTTCTTTTTGTTGTGCATGCAGCCTTTTGTTCAACTGGAGCATCTCTCTGTCTCTCCAGGGACGGGCGTTTCCTTGCCTTGACGGATGGCTCTTCGCTGCTGCTGCTCGATGCTGCTGCTGCTGCCAATCCCGAGGCCCCAACACCCCACAGGGGTCACTTGTCTTCAACGTCAGGGTTGCTGCGGGTCTCTGACTGTCCAGAAGTCCCTGCGGAGGAACCTTTGGGGGCCCCTGGGGGGCCCCTTAATGAGGCTTCTGGGGGCCCCTCTGGGGGGGCTCCTATGGGGGCCCCTGGGGGGCCCCCGGGTAGCAGCGAGCAAATGCTGATGAATAGCGAGAAGGCTGCTTTGGCTATTTGTTCGGTGCGGCGGATGCTGAGGGCGACGCATGCAAATCCGCAGTTCAGGAGGTGAGGAGGAGACAGAATTTGAGGCTTTGGGATGAAGGGGCCGTGCATGCATTTTTGTTGTTGTTGTTGTTGCTGCTGCTGCTGCTGGTGCTGCAGCTGCTGCTGCAACTGCTGCTGTTGCTGCTGTAGAGGCCGTGAAAAGTGATGTTGGCTGCCTTCAGTCTCCACTGGCATTGCTGCTGCAGATGGGAGGGGCGCGGTGTGTTGCTGCTGCAGCACCAGCTGCTGCCGCTGCAGTCTCTGGTGCTGCTGCTGCAGTTACTGCTGCTGCTGCTGCTGCTTTGACTGTATTTATTTGCTGCTGCTGGCATTCTTTGCGTCGCTGATACGGCATTCAGAAGAAGAGGGGCTCTCTTTGTGGGGTTTGTGTAGCTTTGTTGCAATTGCTGCTGCAGCTGCTGCTGCTTGTGCTGCTGTTGCTTGCAGGTTTCATTGTGTTTGCTGGCTACCGGCGTTCTCTGTCTCTCTGCTGACGCACCCCACAGATGGGGGGCCCTCTGGGGTGTATAGACGGTGTGTGGGGGGCCTACGAGGAGACAGATGTTTATGTTTGGGCCTGACAACAAGGGAGGGCGGGGCCTTCTTATGGTTTCAGAGGGAGAAGGAGGGCCCCATGCCTCAGGTGAGGCGAAGTGGGGAATAGTGCTGCTGCTGCATGCATTTTGTTGGGGGCCACTTGATTGTTTCTGTCTCCTTTTGGTGTCTCCAGAAGAGCGCCGAGCAGGAGACAGTTGAGGGGTGCTGCTATCTTGTGCTGTCCCTCGTTGTCTCTTCTTGCTGTGTCTCTGTTTGTGGCGTTGTCTTTTTATGTCTCTCTTCCGTTATATTTTTGTCTTTCTATCGTCTATATATATATATATATCTGTATATATCTATATTTATATCTATATATATATTTTGTCTATGCCTCGGCATCTTGTCTCTAGCTCTTGCTATCTCTATCTTTGAAGCCTGGTCTGTCTCTCTGTCTCTGCCCGGCTGCGTGTTGTGTCTGCCCACAGCGTCTCTGTCTGGCTGCTGACTTGGGCGCAGAATGGCGCCTCCAGCGCAGCAAAGACAGTCCCCTATTGTCTCCTCCTTCTGTCTTCCTTTGGCAGTTTGCTTGTCAGCAGCCAAACGGAGACAGCAGCCCTTCTGAGCTCCCCCTGGTTGAGGTGTCTAGACACCGCGTGCAACTCAGCCGGTGCAGGTGGATCGGGCCATTCGAAGAGCCTCTCATTGCTGCTCCTGCGTCTCCTATTTGTTTTCCTTGTCCCTTTTCCTCTCCCCAGAGAGAGGGGCTGACGGGGGAGAAGACAGTTGGCGGCGGGCCTTGCAGCACTCCTGAAGGTGCTTTGACCAGCAGCAACAGCAGCAGCAACAGCACCAGCAGCAGCAGCAACAGGCAGATAATGGAGGGGCTCTTCAGCGGCTCCCTTGTTGCTGTGGCTTCCCAGAGCTTCATCGCTCTCTTTCTTGTCAGCGGCTCGCAACTGCGGCACGCCAACTGCAGCAAGGAGTGCAGCAGCAGCAGCAGCAGCAGTAGTAGTAGTAGCACCAAGGACAACAGCAGCAACAGCAACAAGGGTAGTAGTTGGCGTCGTCTCAGCACTGCCGCGGACCCTGCTTCCGCTGTTTCTTCTCCCTCAGGGGCCCGTCGGTCTGCTGCTGCCGCTGCTGCTGCTGCGGCTGCTGCTGCTGCTGCAGCTGCCCCTCTCGGGGAGGAGACGGAGTCCCTGGGTCCGGGGGGGCGTCCCCGCCGCGCTGCAACACGGCGCGTCAGAGCTGCCGTCAGTGCCGCTCTAGCTGGGGAGGCATCTAGCGACGAAGCTGCATCTTTGAGAGGCTCCAGCAGGGCCAAAGGAGACAATAAAGGGCGCACTGCCTCGGGTAGGGGGCTGGGGGGCCCCACAACACGCGGAGCATCTCGGCGCCTTGAAGCGGAGACGGAGACAGACGGAGAGACGGAGCTGCAGATGCGCCAGAGCAACACTAAGAGGGGACAGATGCAGGGAAGGAGAACACCACGTGCAGCAGCAGCAGCAGCTGCTGCTGCTGCTACTCCTGCTGGTGCTCGTAGGGTAAGAGGCCGCAGAGCTGCGGGGGCCTCTGCAGCTAAAGATAAGGCGGCAGAAGAGACAGATTTTGCCTCAGACTCAGCCTCCGCCAGCGTCGTCGCTTCAGAGCCCCCAAGTGACAGCTCAAGCTCCGTAAGCCTTGCGAGCAGCAGCAGCAGCAGCGGCGGCGGGGGCAGCGAGGAAGGCAGTGATGCAGACAGCTTGGCATCTGAAGATAACGCTGCGGGGAGACGAAGAAGTAAAAAGAAAAATAGGTCAAGGCCACAGCAAACGAAAAGCAAGCGAACAGCAGCTGCTGCTGGTTCTGCGGATTGGGATGAGACAGCAGCAGGAGCGCGTGCTGCAGCTATAGAGCAGCAGCAGCAGCAGCAGGAGAAATGGCGCCTCGCTGCTGATGCTGCAGTTGAAGCAGCAGAGGAAGAACGCGCGTTGGCGGCCTCCGGACTGCTGCACCCCTTGTTGCTGACGGTCTTAGTTATCCCCCAGGCCCGCAGCAGCAGCAGCAGCAGCAGCAGCGGTGATGGCTGGGCAGTGCCTCCAATGTCGCTTCAAGACACCATAACTGACATGGCTGTGAGTGATCCGCGATTGTACAGCAGGACGGAGGCTGCGTCACCAAGGGTCCCTTCAGAGGGGCCCCAAGAGGGGGAGCCCTCAGGATGTTCTATAGACAAACAGAGTAAGCAGCAGTCTGTCTGCTGCTCGTTTCAGTTGATAGCTACAGCAGGAAGCGGCGCGGTTTGGCTCTTCAGCTGCTGCTTCTCGATCAGCGTGCAGCAACACGAGGCCAGTGAAATCTGCTGCTGGAGACAATCCCTACCCACCCCAGAACTGCGGCCGAACCCTACACACTTCGTTGTGGGGGAGATAAGTGTTGCTGATCCGCTGCTCGTCTTTGCACCGGGCGCGGGCCCCAGCGGCTGTCTGCAGCTGGCGGATGTCAGTGATGCGTTGCTGCCGCTCAAAGAATCACCTGTGGCAGCAGCAGCAACGCACGCTGATGCTGCACCAACAGCACAGACAGCAGCAGCAGCGGCAGCACCAGCAACAAGTGCACCCCTGGCAGCCAATGCCCAGCACGAAGATCAGCAGTGGCAGCAACAGCAGCAGAAGCTGCAGCACGACGTGGAGCTGCTCAGCTGCTGGCGAGTTGCTGCGTTCGTCTGTGGGTCGCGCTTGCGTGTCGCAGTGATGCGCACTTGCTGCTGTGCTGCTGCTGCTTCTGATGCTGCTGATGTTGCTGCTGCTCGTGCTCGAGTTAGCTGCAGGCAATGCCACTCCGGTTCTCGCTGCTGCAGTAGTCGAGGTGATGTAGGACATACCGAGGCCCCCTCGCCTACCATCTACAGAGCCGAGGCCCCCCTGTTTGCTGCAAGTTCATCGCGCATTATTCACGGGCCCGTTGTCAGTCTCTGTCTGCTCCCAACTACGCCTCTTCAGCTGGTGCGTCTCTTCTTGTGGCTCTTCAGCCGTGCAGTTTCCTCACCCGTTGCTCCAGAGACAGGGCCGGATGCATGAGGCTGCACAGAGACAGATATAGTGCTCAAAGCCACTGCATCCATCGCGTTGTCGTTGTTTGCGGCAAAGGAGACAGCTTAGATACAGCGGCTGAGTTAGCTCTGTCCGGCCAGCTGCAGAGACGCCAAGGGGGCCCCAGCAGAGGCTCTCTGGGGGTTAAATGCTGTGGCGGGGTGATAGAGGAGCTGTGGGGCTCGCAGCACATGCAGGGTATATGCCCGTAGGGTGTTGCTGAGGCTGCATACGAGGGCAATTGTGTTTTTTTTTTCGTTGTTGGTTTCTCCTCAGGCGGCAGCGGCGGCGCAGCAAGTGGCTGCTCTGCAGAAAGGAGACAGGCCCTTCTTGATGCTGTTGGCAGCAGTGAGTAGGGGGGCTCTGCTGCCGTTTGTGCTTTACCCAGATTGCGTCGAGCGGACCGGAAATAGCAGCAACACAAACGGCTGCTGCAGCAGGGAGCAGCTGCAATGGGTGTTGGAGCCTCTGGTCCCTGTGACGTCCATACACCCCACAGGGCGCATAGAGCAGCTGCTCATGCCACGAGCCGCTCACTCGTTTAGAGCCCTTGCCCCGGAGGCCTCAGATGGAGACCTTGCGAAGGCAGCAACAAGAGCAGCGGAAGTAGCAGCAGCGGCTGCAGCAGCAAGCGGACTCACTGCTGCTGCAGCCATCTCTAGGGCTAACGAGTGCCGACCTCCCTCGGAGGAGCAGCATTGGGTTGAAGGGACAGCAGCGGCAGGCCTGCAGCAGCAGCATCTGATGTCCGAGGAGGAGCAGCAGCAGGAGCAGCAGCAGAAGCAGCCTCAGCAGCGTAAGCAGCAGCAGCAGCCATATATGTTGAAGGAGAACTGGAGAGAAGACGGAGACCCGTGGGGCAGTTTGTGTCCCCCGAGTGTAAAGGCCCGCAGATTGAACAGTCTCCTCAGCCGTCGTCTGCTCGGTAGGGCGTGCTGGTGTTTGCATTGCTGTTTTAGCTGCCGTGCGTTGCTGCAGCTGTAGCGGTTCCTTTGCTGCTGAAGTGCCGCGGGATAAGACAGCAGCGCTGCTGAGAAGCATCAGAGACATGAAGCTCCAGGGCTGCATGCATGCCGTCTTCATTTTGGCTTGTTGTGTTTGGCTACCGCAAATACGGAAACTCTTGTGTTGTGCTGTTGTGCTTGCGGTGTCTATGCAGCTCTGCTGCCGTCGCCCTGTGGCTCGCTGCTGTTTACATTGGTGCAACAGAACGAAGTGCACCTCCAGCTAGCAGTGGCTCCTTTGGCAGTCTCTCCTGCTGCAGTATGCTTGCTGTCACTGGAGGCACAGCTCTTAGGGCTGCTGCAGGCGACCCAGGTAGCAGATCCTCCACAAGGAGCACTAACAGCAGCAACAGAAGCAGCAGCAGCGGCAGCAGCGCGTTGCTGCGCTCAAGCCCATGGCCTGTGGGCCCTCCGGTTGGCGCTGCGGGGCCCGTTTCAGCGTCTCCTGCCAGCGCAAACTGTCCCCAAAGGCAGCAGCAAACACCGAAAACGCATGCAGAGAGGTGGGGCTCTAGGAGACAGCGACAGCCGAGATACACAGGGAACAAGAAGGCTCCGTGAAGACGATGAATTTTCTCTCGCTTCCGATTGGGACTCCGACAGCGCCGACACACCTGCTGCAGCAGCAGCAGCAGCAGCAGTAGCTGCTGCTGCTGCTGAGCCGCCTTCCACCCAAACACCGATCGCGGGGGGGACAGCCGAGGAAATAGTTTCTACAGACTCCTCCAGTGAGGTGGTTACCTCGGTGGTGCTGCTGGCTGAAATGCTGAGAGTGCTAAAGGAGATACCTGCTTCTCTTAACCTGCTGCACGGCCCTCTTCCGCAGGCTGCAGCGACAGCCCCAGCACCTGCTACAGCAGCAACCACGACATCAGCAACAGCAACAGTAGCAGCAACAGAATTACCAACGGAAGCGGCAGCAGAGACGGAGACAGAGGCGGAGACAGTGCGAAGTATCCTGCGAGCTATTTGGGGATTGGCGCTGCAGGGAGGTGCGGGAGGAGACAACGCAATTGAGGTGGACTGGGGCAGCCTATGGTCGGCGCTCTTAGAGACAGCAGAGGCCATGAGTCTCCTGCGTTTTGTGGGGCCCAGCCAACCAGCAACAGAAGCTGCAGCAGCACAAAGCAACGGCTCAGGCTGCACAGCAAAGGGATCGCATGCTACGGAGACTCGCTGCAGCAGCACGTGCTGCGGAGGACTACCACCGTCTCTCTATCAAAGGCGTCGAGTTGTTGTTGCTGCTGCCTCGAGACTGTGGTGTATCTTTGCAGCTATTAAGGCGGAGCGTCAGAGAAGGGAGGCGTCGCTGCTGCTGCTGCAGCACATGCATGCACTCATTGCATGCGTTCTCAAGCGCAGCGATGCACCAAACTGCGGGGCGTTCCTCAAGACAATGACGTCCACCAGTCAGCAGCAACGGCTGCCGCTGCTCCTTGTACAGGAACCTCTGCCTATGAGCCATCTGAGTACTAGAAACAGCAGCAGCAGCAGTAACCACAGCAACAGCAGCAGCAGCAGTGAGGCTTTGAGTGGGTCCCAAAGGAAAGAGGGCGGCGGCTGCAGCCCTAACTCCTCCCCGTTTTTTCAGCTGGTGACTGTAAGAGAAGACTGCATGCTGAAGCTCCTTATGCCGTCCTCTGTACTGGGGTTGTCTAGGGGCTCTGCTGCTGCTGCAGCAGTCAAGGCAGGGACAGCGGTGCTGGAGGCCTGCCCCCTCTGTGAGAGTGAAGGCTGCAGCAGCTCGCAGCCATTTCGCTGTTACGTCTGCTCTGCCTACGGCCACCGCTTCCCTGCATGTTTTCAGTGCCTCAGATGTCTGTACACCGAAAGTGAAGGCGCAGCAGGGGCGCCTCTGCCCCGCGGTGAACGCCCGGGACTTGAGCCTGCACGGGAGGAGCCTCAAACTGCTGCCGCTGCTGCTGCTGCTGATGCTGCTGATGCTGCTGATGCCAAGCAGCATAACATTACTTTTTTCTACTGTCTTCTCTGCGGCGCCTTTGTCTGCGGAGGGGAGTGGCCTGAGCCGCATGCACCAGCCGGCTGTGGCCGGGGCACGCAGGACGCGGCGGTCGCCCGCGGCGGCCGCTGTTGCCCTGCCTGTCGTGGGGTTCTTCGCCTCGTCAGCATAGTGCGATGCTGCTCCACGGTCAGCTAGCTAGCTAGTTAGTTAGCTAGCTAGCTAGCTAGCTAGCGAATTGGGGTTTTACAAGTGGCTCTTGCCACTCAGGCAGGGCTTCCACGGTTTTTTCAGCGGGGTTCACCCACATGCAAGCATGCGTACACCTGAAATCCATCTCGTATAATTGCTGATCGAGAGGTGGCGGACAATTCGCAAAATGTAGCAGCAGCAGCAGCAGCGGCGGCGGCGGAGCATACCCAAAAGCGCTTTTGAACTCGGGCCACACCTGGAGCCTTTGAGGACTTTAGCAGCCGCTGATAGGAATTGCGGACGTACCGCTAGCTGTGGTGCAGCAGCTAAGAGGCAGTGTGCATGCATTTTTCTACACTAGGAAGAATAAAAAGAAGCAAGAGAGGGCGACTGCAGGTGTTTGGTTCATAGCAACAGGAGCAGCAGCAGCATGGGCTACTCCATATCAGCAGGTTTTTTCTTCTTTTTTCGCTCTCGCGGATTCCTGTCGCGGATTCCTCACCTCCCTTTATTATTAATGCAAAACAAAACAACCGCCGTTAGTGGGGCAGATATGCGGGGTCTACACGCAGGCATACACTGCGAGGCGTGGGGGCCCCAAACCATTAGCCTGTAAACGCCCGCATATCGCTTGGGCTCGTCTGCCAAGGTCTACTTGAGTTGTCGTTTGTTGCTTTCTCTGCATGCGCTCAGTTCGTCCTAGGCAGCCACATGCACAACAACGTACATTGACGCCTACTTAGCCTTCAGGCCTGGGGAATGCACGAAAGACAACCGCATCCGGGCGTCTCCGCAGCTGCCTGCAGTCATTTGTTATTTAAAGGGATAACTGCAATGAAGGCACGGGGCAAATGAAGCGCGATCACATTGGGGCAGCCCCTCCTACGCATTAATTAATCGTTCTTCAATTGTTCATACTGAACCCGAAGATTCCTAAGGAGGGCTCAAGAAGTTCTCGAGCATCAATGCAACTCAGGAAGAGCCACCACCAGGACTCTGCCACCTTATTTCTTGCCATTTATTGCCAACAGGAGAGGAAATGGTTGGGAGAGTTTTTACTGTCAACCCTAAATAACCGAAGTTTGTCATCTAGGGCTCCCAATTTATCTGTTGTATATATCTATAGTCAACCCTCCCTCAAACCCTGGAGCTGCATATAGTTGTCCCCACTCTTTCGCGAAAAGGGGGTAGCTGTCTTATATGGCGTACAGAACGCGTAGTCTCTTAAGAGCTAGCAGCTCTAGGTACCGACTTCTAGCTGAGCCCGGCATCGTTATGCCCAGCTAGCAACATCTCGCGTCGCTGGACTGAATTAGCTGCGCAGCCAGCTGAACCTAGCCCCACCTGCGTGCAGCTGAAGACGAAGCCAACACCTTGGTGTTCACCTGAAACTAATTCAATAGTGTGACGAACAGAAGGTAAATACAGCTAAATAGCTGCTTCTGTTGCAGTGGCTGCTGCTGCTGCTGCTGCAGTTAGCCAGACAGAATTTCCCTTAGGCAATCTTCACCGAGCTTGTGGGGGCCCCGTGCAGTGCCGGGGGGCCCCCTAGGGGTCTGCGCATTTGCAACCACTAGTGGGTGAGAAGGAAAGGAGCAGGCAGATCTATTCTATTATTATTTTTGAAATAAATGAATAGGGGATCACTATTTGAGGCAGAAGACACCATAGTTGTGTTCCGTTTTACTGCGGGAGGGGGGCCCCCTGCTGCTGCAGTGTGCATGCGTTGTTGCTGTTCTTGCTGCTGCTGCTTGGAGGTGTAGATCTTCAAGCGGTAAAACAATATGAACTGCTCAAGTTCGTTCCTATGATGCATCCTTCTGTGCATGCAGTGAAGCCGCAGCAGCAGCGGCAACAGCAGCAGCAGCGACAAGACAAGCAGAGCGTGAATGCTTCTCTAACGAAACAGGCAGAACAAAGGCCAAAGAGAGCGAGAGGCATCAGCAGAAGCAGCAGGTGCCAGCCCATCGAGCGCAACGACGCGGGTCTACTCCAGCAGCAGCGGCAGCAGCAGCAACTGCCGCCGGAAGGAGATGAGCAGCAACAGAAACACCTGCTGCAGGAGGACCTACAACTAAAGCCCTTACAGCAAAGGCAGAAGGAGAAGCTGTTTTCAAGCAGTACAGAAGGCAGCGAAGGGCCCCCTTCCTTCGCTGCTGCTCCTAGGATGGTAGCCACTTCAAATGCCACGAGCGACAGCAGACGCAGCAGCAGCAGCAACAGCAAAAGCGTTAATGGCATCGGCTGCACTATCATCAGCGAAAGCAACAACGCCATGACCGAAGTGTACGTAAACGCGAGCTCCAGCTGAGCTCCTCCCATGCGACTTGATGCTAGGCTTGCTGCTGAGTGCGGGTGCAGGTGCTACTTATGACGCTGCTTGCGATTCTCCTGCTGCTGCTTCAGGCATCTCCACTCCGTGGTGCTGCTGGCCATCGCGGCTCACGCAGCACGCATCCAAGTTTGGCAGCAGCAGCAGCAGCAACAACAACAGCAGCAGCGCGGGGGCAATCCTGCTGTCGACGTAGTGGGTCTTCTCCTAGGTAGGTAGATGCTGCTGCTCAACATTGCTTGCTGCCTGCAAGAGCTCCCTCTTTAGCAGCAGCAGCAACGACAACATAGCTGCTGCAGCTGTGGTTTGTTCTCTGCTTTCTGTTGCTGTGTGGCACAGGTCCCGCCGCGGAGAAGCCAGATTTTGGGGTCACGTCCATAACGGAGTGCGCAGAACTGCCAGTATCTTTACTGCAGCACGACAGCAGCAGCAGTTGTAGCAGCAGCAGCGGCTGCTGCAGCTGCAGCAGCTGCACAAGCGGCAGAAATGTGATACAAGAGACTGTCTCGCTGCGTCAGGCCTTGGACAAGGCTTTAGTCCCTTTGGGTCTGTATTTCTTCACCAAATCTCCACTGCAGAAGAAGCTGCCGCATGCGCTCACTTCTCTGCTCACGCAGGTATTTGCTCCTACCGGGGGTCTCAGTGCCGCCCTTTCTGCTGCTGCTGCTGCTGTTGCTGCTGATGCTGGTGCTGCTTCTGCTGATGTTGATGCTCGCGCTGGTGCCTCTCGTTGTGCCTGATTCGTTGTAATGACAGCTCAGAAGGGTGTTTTGTCCACGGGCCTAGTATTTTTTAGTGTCTAGGGTTTAGGGTTTGGGGTTTGTGGCTTGTTGCTCCAGACGACGTGGGGTTCTGGCTTTCCACTCTTGGTTGTCTTCGATGCTGGAGCCCTTGGCGCTTCTGGTTTGCATAAGCCCCCCACCCAGTGCTTCCTTTGCATGCCAAGCAGCAGCAGCAGCAGCGGCGGCGGCGGTGGCGACAACAGCAGGGGGAGCACCAGCGACGTTAGCGATCTGCAGCTACGACCTGTGCACTTGAGGATTGAAACGGTGACATCTTCCCCCCCCCCGCTGCCACTGATACTATGATGCTGCTACTGCTGCTGCTGCTGTTGTTGTTGCTGCTGCTGCAATAGAATACAACGGCAGCGAAAGCCGCTGGGAGGCAGTTAAAAGGAGAGAAACGTGGAAAAGGCGCAGAGAGGCGGAGGGACAGCCAAACGAACAGACGCAGATGTCATATCAAGTAGAGGCAGACAAATGCACACGGAGGCAGAGAAAAATAGAACGAAAAAAATGTTTATCTTGGCGCTAAGGCAGCACCGGGCGAGAGGATGTTCAAGAAGCAAAGTCTTCTGCCCTTCTCCTTGCGTTTGTTGTGTTCATAGAGCCTCATGGCTAAAATAGCTGCAGAGGCGGTAGCGAAAAAGACAGAACCAATTGGGGCATTGACGGAGACAAGAGGACAGAGTAAGACAGACGCGTGTGTTGTTGTAGGTGCTGTTCTGCTGCTGCTACCTCTGCCTTTGCTTGGCTTTTTTGTCTTGATCTTCGTCTTTGTCTTAATCACCTTGATTGCTGTTGCTTGTTGTTGCTCGTTGTTGTCCTGCGTCTCCTTGTCTGTCTTAGTGTACATATATTTGTTTGGGCCGTGGGTATTGACATAATCCCTGAGGCTTTTTGTCCTCTACAGGCTGTCTCTTTCTGTCTCATATCTTCAGCTGCGGCAGTTTTGTGCCACTGTTTCCTCCTTGCCTTTCGTGTGCTGCAACTCCGCTACCTGCCTTGTCCTGTCTTTGCATTTGTCTTCTTGTGGCTGTAGCATCAACCGCAGCAGCAGCAGCAGCAGCTCCAGCCAGACTGCAGCAGCAGATCGAGGCATTTGAATGCTGCAGGCGCAATATCCAGCGACTGATCCAGTATTTGGAGGACGTCAAATCAGGTGCGCATGCATGGATTCTTGCTTTCCTATGTGTAAGTGGTAATAATATATTTAGCGGCTGGAGCCTGTACAAGTGGCCAGATGCATGCATATATGAATGGCAGAATACCTGCATTATCCTGCTCTGCCGCCTGTCAGCAAAGCAGATAGTTGCCGTCGCTCTGTGAGCGAAAGGGGCAGCTGGAGCAGTAGCAGCTAGAGTACGTCCTGCAGCAAGAACAGCTTCACCACATGGGGCAACGGAGGTTGCATATGTGCTCCTGGTGTGACTAGGTGCATGCAAACCCAATCCTGCTTTGATGCGTGAGGCCTTGGGTGTGTGCAAGCGACTCTGCCGACCCGAGGCGCCTGAAACCGCGGGAACAAACGACACAGCAGCTGCTGCCGCTGAAGCTGTTGCTGCTGCAGCGGCTGACGACGAGTACTTCGCAGCTCTTGGTGTGGCGGGAGATGCAAGTGGCAGCAGCAGCAGCAGCATCTCATCCAGCGTGAAGACTGTGCGGGTCTTGCAGCAGCTGCTGCAGCAGTTGCTGCCTTTGAGCATGTGGGGCCCGCTTCTACAACAGCAGCAGGGTGCGCAGCAGTCGTCGCAAGCCAAAGAAGCACAGCAGCAACAGCGGCAGACAATTCGTTTGCGGCCAAAGTACTCCTGCTCTGTGAAGGAGCAAGAGACGGAAACTGCAGCTATGGCAATTTTAGGGAAGGCGACGATGGGGCTTGCTGCAGTTCATGCAGCTGCTCTTGAGGTATGGCCTCTCTTGCTGCGTCTATTGCTGCTCCGAATGCTGTTTGCTGCTGCTGGTGGTACTTGCTCTTGTGTATCTTGCCTTGAGGGCCGTTTGTAGTCCATCGGGCACTGCTCACACAGAACCCATAAGCAAAAATGGCACAAGTGGAACAGGCAGCCGCAGCTTTTGCTGCTACTGCACCAGCTGCGACTAATGTATTGAGGAAGTGCTTTGTGTTGTGGGCGTTATGCGGTTGCAGCAGAGAGACGCCGCAGCGGCGCTGAAGGCGATGCAGCAGCTTCTTAGTGCGGAGGCTGACATGTGACTTGTGCTTCTGTAGCATGTGCCTCTTTCAAGTTCCGAACAGGAATACGCCTACCGTTAGCATCAGCTGCAGTAAACGCAGTTGGTGCTGCTGCATGCGAGCTTGATTGGGCAATCTGTGCAGCTGCCGACCAAACGATCTGTTTCTTGTCGCGTCGGCCGGCAACAGAGTTGCCTTCTAATATGCCAAGCAGTGCTTTGACCTTTTCATTCATTGTTTGTGCTGCTGCTACCGCCCCTCCGTGCTTGCCGCTAGCACTTGCGCTGACTCGCTAGTGCTCTTGCTGCTGACCTGTTTTGCAGGCTCGTGCAAACTCTGTGTTCCATTCGGCTCTACCATACTTGCATCATCCACTTAGTGAGCATTCTGCTGCTGGTGAGAGCGGTGTTGCTGTGAGTGTTACTACTAATGTCTTTGTGACAGCCGGATGCATGAAAACCGAGTTTAAAAGTGCTTCAATAGTACTGGTGGAATTGCACCAGGGTCTCTAGCTTCACCGAGTTTCTCGATGGGGGCAGTTCTAGCTGGAGCATTCAGAGGAGACAATTCCTCTGTCACTATACCATGAAGCGAAAATAGGCAGCTGCCCAGCGCTCGCTGTGGGCTGCTGGATGCGGCTACAGCGCCTGCAAAAGCAACTGGAGGCAGGAGTGGCTATACTTGCACGAGCGAGCACTGCTTTTTGTTGGTTGATGGAGGCTTGTACAGCGGAAGCATGGCTTTACAACAGCAGCAATAGCGGCGAGGCACGTTGCCCTTCAATCGTTTGGAAGTTATGCAGGCTGCAGAGGCGCGCACAGTGTGGGTTTTCCTATCTTGACGGATATAACCTCTGCGCTCATGATAATGCAAGTTTGAGTTCTTTTAAAGCATACATATTCAGCGGATTCTACAATAAGATATTGTGAATGTGCCACCATAAGGCAGGGGATCTCCCTTCGTCCTGAGGATGCCTGCACTTGAGCGTGTATGTGCTTTTGCTAAGATATCGTTTGGGGGCTAAATTTGGGAGGCAACTGCTCTTTCTTTCTCTGCAAGTGGATATATTTTTTGGCCAGCTCCGGCATAAAGTATTACCTTTGGTTTTCCATGTCGCCTTATCACTTCCTGCTGTTGACCGAACCGGGGCATGCAAAAGCCAGAGGAAGGCACTCAGCCGAACTTGCGGATCCCCAAATAGTGTCACTATGGGACGTATGCAGGACTACAGCTAAACCTTCCCGTTATGAAGGAGGAGACGCATTTTGGAAGAACAAGATATAAAGAATGTTCGTGTTGGAGCTTTGCCTGCCGACCCCGAAAAGAAAACTAGAAATAGGAACAGGTCATCCGGCAACTCTGGCACTCAGAATTGTTAGGGCGCGTAGTGAGCAGCGCAGCTGCTTTTCTTGTAGAAAGGTGAGTCACATAATTTGGGGTAGGCGCAATAATAAAGCACGGTCTTGCTTTAACAAGCAAGACCTTGAACAGCGCCGGCAGGCGAACCCACAAAGCGCTTGGGGAAACGCCCTCGCCACCACGCATCGCACGGCTCAGTAATGTGGGTGCAAAAGGTGACAACAGCACCTGCAGGTGCCTCTGAAATCTCTTGTGCACTTACCGAACTTTTTATTAGTACTCAGAACCGGGTACCGCTAGTTCACACAGGCTCGAAAATGGATCTGATGTATGTTGCTAGAGGGTGCGACCTATCCTGTTATCAATGGCGCAGCCTCTGCTATTACGTTTTTCTGGCGGCATACAAGAGAGCATATTTGGCATAATTATGGACGTAGAAGTGCTTATAAAAGTGAGCCCTCTTTCCGCGATAGGGTAATTCCGCGATGGGCTAATTCACCACGTCGCGATTCTAGGGATGGCCTGGGTGATTCAGTGGAGGAAGCACATTCGAATTACAAAAGTTACCACTAGGATATCTTTGATACGAAACAGTGAGAATGCAGCTTCCAACTTTCCTAACGGCATCTGCAACCTCTTAGTTTTGACAGATGGAACCAGTGTCCCAAGAAGAACGGAGCGATGGGACTGCAAAGCGATGCAGAGGCGCTACAGGGAATGACGCAGAAATGCATGCATACTGCCGTGATAACCTCACGAAGAAAGCATTTTGGGGCCTAGTCGATCCTGTTGGAGACTGACGAACAGCAGAAGCATGCACAGGAACACAAATCGCTAGTTCCTGCACGAAGTGGCAACGAGCGTCCAGTGGCACTGTATTCCAGCCCCCTACAGAACCAAAGTAAATCCGCTTGCCACTTTGACGATTGAAGGCAAAAATATGGATTGAAGAAAGCGGCTAATCATGGTTTCATTGGCTCAATCAATGAGGACTGGATTGCTGATTAGATGAACGTTAGCGTGTGTACTGCTGGAATACGTAGAAACACCTGCAGCAACTGCTGCGTGTCCTGCAACTGCTACCTGAGAAGCAGTTATTCGCAAAGGGCGATAGAATTCGTCCCTCAGGCAAGAAAAAAGCTTGATAGAGTCTTTTACGTTGAACAATTCCGAAGAGGGTAGCATTCGTTCGAATGTTGGCGCTCCCCTTGTACAGTTGCACAGGCATTCAGTAGCTCCCCGTTATCGTGTCACACTACAGTAGTTTCATCCCTGTTTTCGCCCTAGCCGCTGAGCCAATGGGTCTACTCCAAACGGGCAAGTACCTTATGTGGAAACAGGCTGAAAAAGCGCTGCCTGAAGCCTCATCAGCCACATTTTCGCTGTTCGTTCGTCCGTCGGTTGTATTGGCGTCTCATACCCAGTGGAAACACAATAGCTTGACTTACGTAAAAGTTCTCTACGTAGCGCAGCGGGCACCTCACACTTCGTCTGGTACCGCGAGAGATTGTCATCTATGTTGTGATGCTGACCCCGTTGCCCGTTGGTGAGTTTGGCAAGGGATGCAGCAGCGTATCTATTTTTGTAGTAAGAGGAACGCCGTTTGAAGGGAAAACTAGGGACGGCGAAGATAACCACTGCTGCTGAACAAAGGACCTAACTCGTAGTGTAACGACCACCAATTCGCTTTCCTGAGAGCTGTCGTGAGGAGCAATAAAGCCAGCAAATTTAGGTAAAGGTTTCTCCAAAACACCTGACCTCCCACTCCTCACCGCACCGAGCTGCAACTCATGCTGCAAGGATCTCTCACGTGCTAACACAGTCGGACACCGCGTTGTTGCATGCACTGAAACTGTAGCCAGTTGTTCAACCCATTTTGTTGTCCCTCCGTATCCATTTTGGTTGCAAGTAGAGATGCCCACACTAGCTTCACGCAGAACATGGTAGGGCGGCGGAGAGTGCACCAGCAACCACCGGGTTTATACAAGAGGGCAACAGGCTGCTAGGTGCCTTTGGCGGCCTGGGATGCACTCCTCAGTAGAGGCATATGCTTCAGTTGTCCGGGATCACAGGAGATAGGGCTACGCAACACTCTCAAATACGGACTTTTGCAGAGTCCGCCGATCCCAAAAACGATGTGGAAGAAAATCATTGGGGATTTCATATTGCGTTCACCAGCAGTTGGAGGTTGTGATAGCACCCGTGTCGTCGTGGATAGACGCGGCAGCAATGCCCACTTTATCCCATTCGAGTTCATTCACAGCACAGGGAATGGCGCAAGGCCGCAAGGTCCTCATTTTCCGTCTTCTCAGAGGAAACAGACGTTACTGCAGTGAATTAAGGCGCAAATCATTTGCGCAGCCTATTTTGGTTCAAAACATGACCCTCTCTAACTAGCTGGAGGTAGACGGACTGAACTTTCCAACCACAAGCTTCCACAGTCAGCAAAGTGGCTTGATCTACTCCCTTACGCGGGATGGGTTTATTGTGCAGCAGTGCACTCCTTGATCTGGTGCTATTTGGCTTCCATAGTCTGCACGGAAACAACGTTCTGTGTCGATACCGTGGACTTTGTTTGGCAGCCATCTGCGAACTGCCCCTGCTGCAGACCGCCACACACCGTTTCCAGGAGCTCGGGAGTATGCAAAGAAAACAAGGGAATTCCGTACAGAGAACTACGTCAAGTGGCGTTTGATAGTTACTGTCAACCTTGGATACTTGATTTTGGTGGATGCGCATGACCTGCGAGGCGCCCAACGCATGGTAACTGAAGAAGTTACCATGAGTTGCTCAGGGTCGCATGCTATTCGCTATCGGGTCTCCGTGTTGGAGTTCACTATATAAAGCATCCTCCAAGCTGGCTATCCTGCCACGAAATTAATGCCAGTTTGTTACAACAGCGCGGGGAACCGTGGGAATTTCCTAAAATTCTTCTGTGAAAGAGGCAGCAGCGCCATTGAGGGAGTGAGCAACTGCAGGATACTGATAGACCGGATGCTCTTGTTACGAAGTGCAGAAGCCACACCAAATTAAAATACTAAGTTGCGGGAGCAGGACACTGACACCCCGAGACCCGAGGGGTCTCCTGAGGATTACTTGCTAGTACCCACTTCTCAGTAGCATCTACGTACTCTCCTAATTTCAGCTGCAACGAGTAGATGAGTGCGAATGAACAACATACCGAATGGGCACGAGTAGAACGGAAGAGCCAGAGGGCCCACTGCCTGTATGATCCCTTGGGGTTCTGATACTGCATAGATCAGGAGCTTGGGGTTCTGATAGAAAGGGGATGCGGATTTTGTCTTCCGGTAACTTAATCCCCCTGAAGAGTCCCGGTCGTTTTGGCCAAATATGGATGTATTATCAGATGATCCTACACCGGCTGACCTGGTACGTGGCAGCGGGTTCCTGTTATATCAGCAGTTCACAAGCTAACAACCAGTTTCCCTATTTCAACTGAAACGTGGAGGGTTTCAAATACACCAATGCCAGCGGCACACTGGTGGAGAGGGAGATAGGTACACATATATAACTTGCACTTAATTCGTGTGAAATTGTTTTTGCAGTGCACGCAATTGCTCTTGCCCGTGTGTGAGAACTGTGGATCTGAGAAGGGAGCAGATGGTTGTCAGCCTACGCGAATGTACGAAGGACATATCTAAGTGAGCTGCAGAAACTGTTATATTCTTTTCTCGACAACGCACTTCGTTCGTGTTTCAGCCATGCCAAGGGGCGCCAGAAGGCGACTGTCCCATACTTTCAGATGAGAGGGCTGGGGAAGCCTCAAGAGAGACGCTAGCACGACTTTGCAGTATTTTCCCAGTCGAGCAATATCAGAAAATAGGCCTTGTGCGCAGGGATGAAGGTCTACCGCCATTAGGGATTCGCGTTTGCAGCGGTGGGTCTCGTTAGAGCTGCGAGCCAGCCGCTCCACCAGCCTCGCGAGCTACCTCTCTCGAAGTTCAAGAATTTGTTGGCGCTTCGTGGAAACATTTTGTAAAGAGTGTTCTTAGCCTTAGCCTAGGACAGTGATGGGCTATAATAGAGTTCCTTCAGCCAAAAGACCACAGACAAGGGCGCGTAAACCTACTCCCTACCGGCCTTGGTGCGCACCTCAGCAAACGATATGGTTATCCTCTTGCCTCCTGTTTTTCCTGAAGGTTCTTGGGATTTGTTGGTAGCTGTAATGCAGAATGCACGGCGGGTTGCTGGGTCTCTGCATAAGTGACTGGCGTGAAGTACTGTCGGTGGGCGCCGTGGGGAGGGCTGGGAATCCTGTAGGGCCTGTAGATGGGGAGTTGCAGGACCCTCTAGAGCTGTATGGTCTTCCATGAAGCCCATGATAAAGTAGAAGTAACGCCTGAGGCGAGTGTCTGTCTTCTTCGGCGGTCGCCGGTTAGTTCGCGTTCAGTGGCCCATGGCTGACGCCGTGGCCTGGTAGTTAGATTAGCTGTAACTGGGGGGCATTAGAGTGCAAACATACTGCAAGCATGAGGAGTGAATTGCATGGGGGTATAATGGGGAAATATTGGTTTCTGTCGGTATTCGTCTTGCCCGGCCTTGCGTATCGATGGAAGCAGCTGGCCAGCAGTGGCGCCTGTGTGCGCCGTCTTCCTTTGAGGGTTACGGTTTCATTGCCTTTGTTGCAGTTCTCTGAGTTGTTGAAGCAAATTATGATTTCTTGTTCTAAAGAAAATCTAAATCGCTTTCTTCATCGAGGCGACTCTCGGGCCCAGGCCTTGTCCGCTGCAGGCGGAGCACCAGTGGCGTGGGCTGTCCAATTCTTGCAGACTGTTGTCGTAAGCCTTCTACGCCCAATATTCTAATGGCGAAGCTGCATGCATGTTTCTGTAGATGAGCATTTCACTCATTTCTTAGATATTGTTTCCATTTTACGGACTCTGGGCTCACTGCCTGTCCCAGGGACGAACATACGCCACGGTCAGGCCTAAGGCACCTTAGCCAGCTGTCCCCCGAGAGGCTGCACATCTACATTGCCCGGCACTTCTTCCTGTGCCACTTCAACTGCTTGTGTAGATAAAACCTCTGAGAAGAATGAGACCTTCAAGCCGAAGTACCCGCAACGCAAGTGGCCATTCACCCAACGCAAGCCCTGGTCCTTTGCCCAACGCACAGAGCGGCAGGAGCGGCAGCAGCGACAGTGGAGGTCATGTGCCACAACTAGATCTAGCGCATGCAGCGGAGATTGCAGCAGCTCGGCAATGGGCTCAGTCAGCCCAGGGTCCCCTTGCCAGCGCCATGGACACCACCCGCAGCCAGCAATGTGCTAACTGCAGCGATTGCATGCTTCCCTGCAGGGTCTTCTTGGGTCTCAGCTCGCCAAAAGCCCTTAACCCTCCGACAAAAAAACCCACGGCTTTGAAACAATCATGTGTCCCCTTGAGACCCTTCGGGCAGGAAGCATCAGTTGCCCCCAGATCAGGCCGCAGCATCTCCAGTGGTCAGCTTCCTGGCCGCACCGCCACCAGTCTACAAAGAGAGCCAGGCGCTATTAGGCCCGTGCCTCATGTTGTTTCTTCACCAGCAGTCTCCCGTGTTCAGGAGCGCGGTCGGACGCTAGACAGCCATGCGACGGCTGCTGGTGCTGCGCAGACATCTTTCATGCAGACGCAGCAGGCGAATCCTTCTCCTCAGTACCCGCTGGTTAGAGCTGCAATAGTTCCCTTGAACAGGCCAGGAGAAGGCCCAGTCATGGCACCAGTTTACAGAGGACAACTTTCCAATCCAGTGATCACCACCGCGCAATCTGTGCATGGAGTTTCCCATTCAAGCCAATTCCCCACGTACATCGTACCGGTTCTATCTGCAGGAGCACAGGCAGAAATTGGAGTAGGAACAGGAACAGTGGCAGGAACTGCTGCAGCTGCTCGACCTGCAGCAACATACACATCGTTCGCAGAGCAGAACAGCGTGAGTATACCACGGAGCCGCTACCTTTCGCTGCACCAGCGAGATAAACAGCCTCGCCAGAGCTCTCATTCGCATCATCAGTGCATCAACTGAAACGCTTGGTCACAGAAGCCCTGCTGCTTCCTGCTGCAGGAGGTGCCTCTCTGGCAACAACTGCGTGCTGACGCTTCCGTCGATTTTCCATTTGCATGGCTGCTCTCTAGTTTTCAACTTTTGTATAGGGGCTAACTTTATTCATGTCTCTCCAAAGCAGATAACTAAGGCATGGTTTTACAGGCTCTGTGGGGTGTACGTTGTTGCAGGGTGAAGGGCAAGTGGCCTGTTTCGTAGGCCCTAATGGAGAGTTGTGAGTCTTTATTATTTTGGTCCTTTGGTTCAGCCTCCCAGGTTCAGTCCAATGCCGTGTTCTGTCTCTTGCTCTGCATCCGGATGGACTCCGTTCGCGGCTAGACGCTTCCCAGCATTTGGGGCACCTCCTTGAGCTCTGCTTGTGACTTTCTTTGTTGCATTTGGTCGTCGCGAATTGCGTGTTTTCTTTATTGCTGCCTTTCGCCGATTGAGTTGCCGGTGCGCCGCTGCTGATGATTTCCTGCAGATACGTGAGGTCAAACGTTGCCAGCAGTGCGGGGAGTGCGACCCCGCTTTCCCAGCAGCAGATGAACGCATGCAGGTCCCCGTCGTCTGCCGCAAGAAGTCTCTCAGGAAGCGTCACTCGGGCGCCGGTGCCTGTGTTAGTCGTGCAGGGGCGATCCCAGAGCGTGGCACCGCCTCTGCCTCGAGTGTATGCAGCACCTGCTTCGGAACCTCTCGGGGTGTACGATGAAACAGGCATGTCGGTCCAAGAGGTCAAGACTCCAGCAAAGGATGGTGGATATTCCATGGAGAAGCCAGTGCCCATCGAGCTGGACCCTTCGTTGCGCGACGTCCTCGACGGGCAGATGCTGTCTTCTCGCTCACGAGTCTTGGCTATGGAGCTCAAGGTGAGAATACCAAAGGCATCTGCGGATTGCTACGCTAACCAATCTCCAAAAGAAAGCCTTTGTATGTGGATCAGCTGTGCTTCCGGCATGTGCACGTGGGAATGCGAAGGACGACTTCCTGTCTGCTCAGGCCGCAAGGGAACATTGTAGAGCCATTCAGGAAGGCTTTCAGGAAGAAACCAAGCATCTGAAGCAAGAGAACGAGAGGTAAAGAGATGACATGCAGCTTAAAGGGAGCTTGCGATGTTTTCTTCTGCGGGCAAAGAATGCTCTTTATGCTGCTGGTTCGCGGTTGAAAGCTGGTTTTCGACCAGTGGTGTATGAACAGGCTTTCTTTCTCGAGCTTGTTTGTGTATTTAGACTTTTATCAATCGTTGAGTCAATAGAAAAAAGGATAGAGGACTTACAGATTCAGTTGTCTGGCTCGAAAAAGGTGCGTCGTGCCAGAACTTTGGCGGTCCTTTGAGGATACACTCTGTCAGATCCATAGGGCAGACGACCCGGAAAGGCATCTAACTCCTGAGTTACCTGTGCTGTTCTTTGCCAGTACAACTCGTGTCTACTGGTAGCTGTGGGACCTGTTGTTTGCAGGAGCCAGTCAGCGTTGACGGTCGCGTGGACATAGGTTCTGGTCTGATGTCTGAGATCACGGACTCACGTAAGAGGCAGCTGGGGGAGTTAGGGGATGCATAGGGCAGATGTGTTGCGGACGTAGCACCCGGAGCCGTTCTCTACTGTTGCAGAAGCCGACCTGCACTGGGAATGAGGCACTTGTGCGTGCAGAGAGTGGAGTAAACGTGGCTAAAGGACTTTCCAGCTTAGAGCGAAAAGCCGCGAGAAGCGGCCACAGGAAAGGAAATGCAGAGGTCTTAGATATTTGCCAGCGTGAGGCTACGGCGAAGGAGGGGAAGGCTCCTGGGCCAAAGGCTGCGCCTCCATTGCTCCCTAAGAAGTCTTTGGGTGTGGTGCCGAAGCAGGCAGTTCCAGTTTCCCCAAAGGCTGGGGAGGGGCCAGCGGCGACGGCAACAGAAGGCGCGGCAGGTGAAAAGACCGCTGCAGGTGTCGAGGTGAAGAGTGAGGTTGAGGCGAAGGAGGGAAAGGCTCCTGGGCCAAAGGCTGCTCCTGCGTTGCTGCCGAAGAAGTCTTTGGGTGTGGTGCCGAAGAAGGCACTTCCAGTTTCGCCAAAGGCTGAGGCGGGGCCAGCGGCGAAGGCAGCCGAAGCCCAGGCAGCTGCGAAGACCGCTGCAGCTGCCGAGGGGACGGGCGAGGTTGAGGCGAAGGAGGGAAAGGCTCCTGGGCCAAAGGCTGCTCCTGCGTTGCTGCCGAAGAAGTCTTTGGGAATGCTGCCTCCGAAGGCACTTCCGGATTCGCCAAAGGCTGGGGAGGGGCCAGCGGCGAAGGCAGCAGAAGGCGCGGCAGGTGAAAAGCCCGCTGCAGGTATCGAGGTGAAGAGTGAGGTTGAGGCGAAGGAGGGAAAGGCTCCTGGGCCAAAGGCTGCTCCTGCGTTGCTGCCGAGAAAATCCTTGGGCATGCTGCCTAAGACGGCACTTCCAGTTTCGCCAAAGGCTGGAGAGGGGCCAGCGGCGAAGGCAGCAGAAGGAGGGGCAGGTGAAAAGAGCGCTGCAGGCGTCGAGGTGAAGAGCGAGGTTGAGGCGAAGGAGGGAAAGGCTCCTGGGCCAAAGGCTGCTCCTGCGTTGCTGCCGAAGACACCAG